AACTGTTGGCGTCACTGTCATGCAGTGTCTTATTACACTGTTTAATCATGCTGAAATAAAGCTTAATCAGATCAGAGCACTGTCTGTTGTGTCTGTGGAGGATGTAGAGTGTTGTTATGGTTCGCCCTTGGAGTATATATTTATTGCATTTATGTGCTAGCGCACACCTCATTGCCTGGTATGTGTAGGGCAAGTTTCTGCCTGTCTGAAATCTTCTTTTCCTTTCTTTTACATCGTTAAAGCAGGATAAATCAACTCATAACTTACCAGCCCGAGGGAAACAGTTCATTCTGTTTCTCGAGAATCTCAATGTTTCCCGAGGTGAAGCCGAAAGAAAGGGAAAGGGAGGGACCAGTTTTGAAGTGAATTGTTATAGAGCTGGAAATTTTGAAGCTGGAAGTCCATAATTAAACCTCGCTGTAACGGCGGTCGTCGGTCAACATTCGCAATGTTACCTCTGACGTCATAAATTTTGTAATGTTGCTCGCTCAGATATGACCTCGAACGGGACCAATGAGAGCACGCGCTGTCGGGAAGAACTTTCCAACTATATAACAATACCCACTGTATTCCATATATGTAGATGCGTTGACCTGGACCGAGTTTTGAACCTAACCAGTTTTACTTTCATTTTCAGAGAGGACGAGACAGACCTTGTTTTTCCTAAAGAAGACTTCAAACCGCTGTCCACCTTGTGTCCACCAGCTGTACCAGAGTAGAAAGAGACAGGAGCGAGACAGTTTATAATTTAGCATGCAACTGTATTAAATTTGAGCTATTAGCTTAAATTTACTCTTTATTTCATTTCCAGAAGTCAGCTATGATAAGAAAAAAAAAAAACTTTTCGGATCTTAAAATAACACCTGCTCAAGGTTGTGTTAGAACCTTTAGACTGCATACGTTAAGAAATATAGGCTGGCTTTTTCCTAGCTGTAGATAAGCACAGCCAGTTATCGTCTTAATTCGAACAGAAAGGTGTGACGTTTCCGTTTAAGGTGTTTCTAACAAAAGAGAGAAAGAAAAGAAGGAAGGAAAAAAAAGTAAGCATAGCAGTACGTAACTTTTTATAATATGAAGCCGGGAATTCTGACTGAAAAACTCCCTCCAGTTTGATCTAAAATTTACGCAGCTTCAGAAAACAAGGGCTGTTGACAGAGGCGAAAAATGTTTTTAATCTCTTCGACTGATTTGGCTACACCCTAAACTGGAGTTCCTTGTCCCACGAAGTCAAATTTAAGTGCGAGTGTTAAATCTTTATGCACAAGAGAGGTTTTTAACCGGCTCATTTTTGAAGAACCCTTGATATGCCGGTTAAGATTTTTTTGGTCAGTTTGATAATGCTCCAAGGAAACTGAAAGCAGCAACGCTTTAATACCCACTGTTAACAGCTTTTCTTTAACTGTCCCAGCAAATTAAATTAAAATTATTTGGAATTTTTGCGCTCCCTATAAAAACGTCACTTTTTCAAGACTTTCCGCCGCTCCCATTGAACCGCTCAGAGGTGTCTTTTCAGGGCAGGAGCGCGAGCTCGTTTCCCAAACGGCGGCTGGTAATCGAGCTTACAAGACACGCTACCTTGGAGTGATTTTACTTAACCCCTGAATACGAACTATTTCTTTCTAATTTCATTGTTTCTTATATTTACTTGTAACCATTTGGTACTAATTGTTACATACTGTTTAACTGGTTTACTTAAATCACCATTACAGTTAATCTATTGAATTGTTATTAAAAAAAACCTTTCAGTTTTGCGGAGAAATGTGTCATTGTTTCTCCCACCCAAAATGCCCAGCTCCCCCCCTAGAAATATTGTTATCATTACAGTATTTTAGTAACTATATCGCAAAAATCATCCAGACGCGATGAGGTCAGTGCACACATAGTAACATTTCTCAAAATTGTGTCTCAAAATGCACCAGATTGCATCTCAGCGCATATATTTCAAAATTTCTGGTGGGGGCATGCCTCCGCACCCCCTAGGAAGCTCGTGGCTTTCGGGACTTCACCCCCAAACGATAGAACCCTGTTTCAATAGAACCCTGTTTCAATATAAATAATTTTTGAGATTCACAACATAACACTACGTTAAAACGAGCACCAAAAACGTGCAACTTGTACTGCAACAATTGTACTAAATAAGTTGTATAATTTTTGTTTTGTTCGTTTTACTGTACCTTTACATCTCTAGTGATAGCGCTCCGTAAACATCAATGGAAGAATAAGGCATCACTTTAAAGTGGTATTTTATTTTTTCTGAAGTTGTAATAAAACGGAAGGTGACTACCATAAAAGTTTAATCGTACGTTTTCTTTCAGATGTTCTGGTAGTTAGTGTGTCATCTTCCTTGACAAACAATACTCTTTTCTTTTCGGCTTTAAAAACGATTTTCACAATATACAGAAGAATTCTGCTCAAAACGTGTTCAAATAAGTGAGACAATAAATAACTTCCAAAATCAAGTATATACTCTCTGTGACTATATAGTCTTTTCTTCTATAATACAGGGATGCAGTAAAACTATTCGGAATATTTCAGTGACTCCACGACACAATCATACAATTATTTACACTGAACCAATGTAGGGGTTTCAGAAAATTCAGCCAGGTTTTATACCATATCAGAATGTCTTGCTCGGATAGAGGTACGTTCTTCCACACTTTGCGTATAAATAGTCCATTTTCAAATGTAAGATACCTCATAAAAATCTAGTGTTACTTTTTGCTCGTCTGTCGTGATTGGACAATAAACAGTTACCAAGTCAAGTTAATTTCTAACTCGAACATTAAAACTACCCATGTTTACAACAGTTCCAAGGAATAACATTTTTTTTGAAAGATCTTGAGTAATATGTAGAAATTTACTTAATGTCACACAACAGGGCGACACCGCGCAGAATCCAGTGATCTGGATTCTGATTGGTTTTCAAGTCCACACTTGCAATATACGTCAGATCTGTTCTCCTTGGTTTCTTGTATATCGGGCACTGGTACATCCGGGCATCTCGGCCAGCGGTCGTGTTAATAGCGTAGATATGAATGACTGGCATAGCTGTGAAGAGAACCTTTTGAGTGGGTTCCACAAGTTTGCAGCCTCTGCGATCCCACCCGGCTCCGTCAAGATACAATCCATGCACATAGACCCCTTCAGCTGGGGGCTGAGTGATGTCATCTTTAAAGAAACGCGTGACGTCATTATGAAGCACCACGCAGTCCAAGGCCCAGCCCTTGTGCGCACGCGTCACTTCCTGAAAAATAGGAAACCGTCGTGCGCGTAAGCTTTTAAAGGTAAAGCAGGTGATTTACAAAAAGTGCCGAAAAGAGTAAAAATATCGACAAAAAAAATTACAAGATTTCAACATTACGAGGTTAGTTTTGATATCAAATAAAACAATTTCCATTTGCCCTTTAACTAGCGAAAGAGTAGTTACTTAAAGTTTAAGATAAAAACGGGGTTAGTATGAAATGGTGGGGTGTGTTTCAGTAACTGGCCTAGGGGGTCACTATCTGACTTCACCAGTGGTCTGTGATTGACAAAATGTAGGGTAAGATGGGCAAAACTGTCCCCTGCTGAGGACAATTCAATTCTTCATTTTTAGGCTATATAAGACATTTGTACAAGTTATATTACAAATGATAATAAAAAAGGATGACTAGTCATTACGCTGAGAAGAGGTAATGTACATATATGTGCGGTGTTCGAAGTAGCAAGAGCTTTCTAGTTGGACACCGCCTACTATTTATCAATTAAAATAAATCACACCTGTCTCATGGCGGTGAGGAATCCTTGGGGATTGAAGAACCCTGTCATCCAGAACACATTAGGTCTTCCTTCAAAACACCAGTTCCTAAACTGACTGTTTCTTTCCAAAAGTTCGGTGTACCAGAATCCAAGCGTGGAAGACTCCCATGAGATCTACAGAGTAATGCAATAAGGTGGAAGAAAAATAACTTCGGCGAAAATGTTCAATGTTTTTTCGGGAAAGTACTTTCAAGTGTATAACTACAACGCTTTCATCTATGGATGTCGCAACATTTTCTCCTCCCTTAATAATCGACCACTTACCTTTTTCCAGTGAGTAGGTATCCTGGCATCGTACATGCAGTCAAGTGAGTCTCTTAGGGTCTAAAGAAAAGAACAAGAAAAATATTAATATCAAAATCAAATTTAAAAAAAAGTGCACAGTGAAAGTTTAAGCCCGCACATGGACAACAACAAAAAAGGCAACATAAAAAAACAACAACAACAACAATTGTTGTTATGAGCAAAACAGCAGCTCTGCACGTGCATCATGCTTTTTAGTACATTTCTTTGACGTTCACTGTACGACTACGACATAAAACCTCATAATGCGACGTTTTATGGAGGACGTCAACATACGACGACGAATGGTCCTTTCTCTTTTCAAACCTGTCGATAAGAATTCATCTCCAGGAAAAGAGGCCTGCATTTGACAAATTGCGCGGCTCCAAATAGAGACCGAATAATTTTTTTTAGTGACATTTTCACTGTCGTCGTACTTGTTGCTGCTTAAGCTTGCTAACCTGACCATCTACATGATTGCAAATAAAAAACACAAAGAAACAAACAAAAACATTCTATCAGCTCCGTTTTTTGTAAGCCAAGGATTGGCGATAACTGTCCACATGGTCATTTGATGATTCTCTGGTTTTTCAAAGAAAGATAAAACTTGACGAAAATGCCAAAAAGCCAGAATAGAAGAAAGCTAACCTCGCTCATAATGATGGTGCCGTCAATGGCCAGTTTTAGATCTGTCAGTGTCTGCCGCACAGCGGTTATCACTCTCTGCATTCGATCGATTTCTTGCCTCAAGAAGATATTCATGGGAGACAGTGCTCCCATCTTCTGTAACCTTGCCTTCACCTGAAATGAAAAAAAAAAAAAAAAAAAAAAAAAAAAAGAAAGAGAATTTTTGACCTTTGTACTCGAATACCAGTTTATACGCTAGAAAATCCTCCATGAAAAGAGGTCCACTTTTTTTCCGTGATTGACAAAGAACTGAAGACTCGGATACACAGTGAAACGCCAAAATAATCTTATTCGTCCAGTTTACCTCATGTGCGATGTAGTTTTCAGGAAGTTTATCGAGCATGTCATCAGCCAGCCGCTGTACAACAGACTCGCGGGTTTCTCCTCCGCCGCCTGAGCTATCCTTTGGCTGAATGCTAAGGATTGTATCCAGGCAAGACTTGGCCAGGTTACTCTGGTATCTGAAAACACACGTGAATTACTCGTTAGTGTATTTCGACAGCACTGTTTTATTTTTCTTCAGCCAAATGCATCGTAAACGTAGCCACAATTTACCATGCAAAGGTGCAAAGTTCTTTGTTACAATTTCTTGCTTGGATTTTCCAACGATTGTTGCAGTATCGTGTATTTAAAAACACAAAAAGATCGTTTAAGGAGTTAGGACTATTTTTCTGCCTAAATAATTCCTAAAAGTGGAAGTCAAGGGGTTCTAAGGTCGAGAATAATGACATCTTTTTACCTTGGACGATTCACTAGCCTTGTTTCCTTAAATCGCAACTTACGTGATATCAGCGTTAGGATGCAGTCCAAACACCTCAGGGGAGTCCACAAGGGGGAGAGTGTCAATATGATCCATGTATTGCGGTACCGAGGTACACTTTGGTATGGTATAACCCTTGTAGAAATTAAAACTTTGCTGGAACATTGACTCGCTAAACCACACCTACAAAAGATGAAGTGAAAAACTGGATAACCATTGGCTCAGGGAGCAGATCTGTAAAAATGCTGGTAACTCGTGCTGAAGGTCAGTAAAAGTGAAATTGTAAACTGAGGACAAATCTACTTGGATCTTGAATGTCCCTAGTTAAATACAACAACAAACACACTTTTTCTCTGTTCAAACACAAAGTTTTACGAAATACATGATTTGATAGTTTCCAAGCAAAACATGCACATAACAATGTTTCCAGGAAAAACTTACTTCCTAATTGATTTAGTCCGTTTGATTCTTACAAGTGTTGATAACTAACACTGTATTTTCTAAACTACCATACAGACACTCGGTTAGTATTCACCTTGGCAAAAGTGTTTAGAAGCCGTTTATCAAAGTCGTCTGTGACCCTTCCGCCATACTGAACCTCTCCCAGCATGTATCGTACAGTGTTCCACGATACACCCTTCTTTATATCCATGTCATCCAAATGGTTTTGAACAAACTGCACACTGGCTGTAAAGTCAGCCTGGTTAAACTCGTATGGGATATTCCAGCCCAATGGACCGTATTTTCGACGTTCCTTAAAGGACATTGAAAAGTAATGTTGAAGAGAGCATGCTACATAATCGCTATGTCGTGAATGAATTAACAATAAAAGTGCTGCAGTTTGTAATCAAGTTTAGTAGAAATAATTATGTAGAGCTAGAAGAAAACTGTTTATTACAGCTATTAATGGGACACCGTTTTTGATTATGTAACAACAAGAAACAAAAAAGATAATATTAACCGCTAAAGCAATGGCTTTTAAGGCACGAGGAAGTTCAGATTTCCAATTATTTTTCCCCCTAGGAGATTTCAGGAATTGTCGGGTCAAATGTCGATCATCGTATAAAAATGGTCTTCTTAGCATTTTTTTTACAAAAATTGACCGACTTTTGCATAATGAAATTCAAAAGAAGAAATAAGCTATTCATCCCTGAACCTCAAAGAAACAATTAAAAAGGCCTTGCTGTAATATTGTTAAGCGCTTTTAATAATGTTAAATAAGATGTTCAAGCAGTTCAACATTTGGTTTAGTAATATTAAAACAATATTGACACCAATGATGGGCCTCCACCTACCTGAACAGTAGTATGAAGGAAGGCAACCCCAAAGAGCATGGGTTTCCACTGTGGAAGGTTGCTGACATCCAACTGGTCCTGATTAATACCTTGAAACAACAACATTAACAAGAATTTAACCCGTGACTGGTCAACAATAGAAGGAAGAAGAAACCTGGATAAAATGCAAACCATTAGCTTACCGGTGTAGGTTCGCTTGAGTCCGGCCCTCAGTCCTTGGGGAGGTTCATTAGTGAATTTAATGGACATCTGTTAAGAAGAAAAAAGTCACTCATATCAAAGTAAGTACTTTAAGGTAAATAGAACTTAAAATTACTTCTATACTGCCTTCATTAACATATTCTGATGGGGTGGCGCCGCTAAGTGGTTAAGGCATTGTACTCGAGTCCCCGCTCTGGTCAGTGGCACATAGCTTGTAAACACCTGATTCGTTCACCTTCCGTTTGACATCAATATCAGTTTTTAAAAAGTTGCATACTCATAGCGATGAAACGGTCAACAAAGCCGAATGGGACTTTTCAAGCACAGCAGTCGAGTAGTCGCATACCTGCAAGAGGCCAATTGGGAAGTGTGCATGCTCCTCGGTGGTCATCCACAGTCTGAAAGAATCATGAACTTGCTCCGCATCCACAACAGTGTCTAACAACTCATCCATGAACTCCAAACCAAGATGACAGTTCTGAAGGAGTGCCCATCCACCCTGACATAACAAACATGTGAATTAGTATCGCTTTACTTGAGGTCATGCATTCGTAACGGTATGTAAAAACAGCGTTCATGCCGAGGAAGTCTCTTGATTAAGAGGAAATAACGTACTTAATATCTGTTTCACGAAATTCTTAACAAACCGTTTTCCAGTTTTATAAGTACACAAGGAAGGGGGCATAAAAACGGCCGTAACAATGACACGTACCGTTTGCATGAATTGTCCAACCAATTTTCTAGCATGAATCTCTTGTCCTTGCCCCATAGAAATGGCTCGGCAATCTACAAAGGAAAATAAAGGATAATTCAAATAAACTAACTTATATGCAAAGTAGGGTTTGTTGAAACAAATCTCTGCGAACAACCAGCGGGAAAAAAGGAAAAAAAGAAAAAACAGCAACAGATGAACATTTTTGCTGATTCATATTCTATTTCTCCTAAAATACCGTCTTGCACAAACTTATGTTATACGTACCGAACTTGTGCCTTTTGGCAAGGTTTTCAATGAGACTGGTAGGATCTGAGCCCATGGACAGGAAGTTGATTAGCGGTGTTCTATTATCACTCTCCTCCCAGGTCTTTTCCAAATCAAGGATCACGTTCTCAGCGTAGTTGGATCCCATGGACTCTGCGATGTACTTTCGCGCCTGCGCCATGGTTCGGTCTGGGCACCAGGACCTGTTAATAGCACAATTGACAGTGAGACTTAAGTACGCTGACGTTAAGGGGGGTGGGGTGTGTGTGTGTCTGTATGTGTGATAGGGGAGGAGAGGGCGGTGAGGGTTGCTATGACTGTAATTCGGCGCTGGAAAAGAATGATTAAAGGTGACGGATCTAGCACCCAGCGGACAGGAGATTTAACAAAGCCTTATAAGGTAATTAAGAGTTGTGGTACCCACAGAATAAATGCAAATGCCATATAATTGTGCCCTTCATCAATCAAGCTGGTTGTCACACTGTATGAGATATATCAAACACAGTAATCGTCGTATTTCACTCCAGAGAATCAGAAGAGCGTATTACCTGATTAGCAGAAGTTTTCTAAAAGTGTCTAACGAGTTTGCATATCCATCAGGAATGTCAGCTTCTTCCGGGGCGTCTTTGTCAAACCAGTTTTTCCACTGCTTCTCATTCCTAGAGATCTGTCCATGGAGGTAAACAGGAAGTACATAATATTTAAAAAGTCGAAGCGATTCAATAGCGACAGCAACGAAACTTAGGTAACAAACAAACGAAACAGCAGCAGCAACAACAACAACTGACGAACATAACATTTTGCTGGCGGAAATACAGGAGGCGAGAAGATGAATGACAAAAAACGGTTCATACCTGATTTAGTACGTCTGAGAACTGGGGTAGTTTACTAAGTTCCACGAGGTTCAACCACGTCACATCTGTTATCCATCTGCAAGGTTTGGGTTGCACCGCTTTCAGGTCAAGAGAAGCGCCTCCCTTGATGAGTGTCATAAATTCGGTGTGTTTAACCTGGAGGGTAAAGGGTAACAATATCATGATCTGGAGTGGTTTGAGTTGTTCGAGAAACGTATTGGAAAATAGAAGAAAAAAAGAAAGAAAGAAAAAAATGCGTAGCCTGTGTGAATGGCTGTTTTCACACTAGAGACGGATTATTTGTCTGAGACGGGTTATCTGTTAGATAATTCACGTCAGACAGATAATACGTCTTAATTTGAAAATGGCACGGTTCTAATTTTGGATGAACAATCCGCCTGACTTTATCCACCTGTTTATTCGTTAATTTTAACGGATTTTGAAGATGGATTATCCGTCTCTAGTGTGAAAACGGCCACTCTGTTGCAGGTTCGTCATAAATATTTCCGCCACAAATTCATGAATATAGTGTAGCACTGACCTTCTTATTCTGCAAATCAATCTTCAAAGCGAGAAGAAGCGTAAACAGAAACTTATGATTCTCGTAGAGACCTCGACACGAGTACTTCCAAACTTCGTACGTCAAGTAATCTATAATGTTGTGTATCCTCTTGGAAGTGATAGGAGATGGCTGGGATCTAACACAAAATAGAAGAAAGAAAAAATGAAAGTATAAAAAACGCACATGCAAAAATTTGTTAAGCTGTAAGAAACATAATTTACTAGGAGCAGAGAAAATGATCTTCTTAGACAAAACGCCCACGCAGGGTAGAGGCCACAGAAATTTCCCAGTTCAAAGGCAAAAAACAATGGGTTAATCCCTTACCTTGCCATAGCATTGTCGAACAGCCCCAAAAATTGTTTGAGAGACGTCTGGTACATGCAGTTTACCATGCTCATCTCAACGATCAAGAAATACAGGATACTACCTCGGGTGGCCACTAAAACAAAAAATACCGATAATTATGAAATTAAGCTCGAGGTATTGATAAAAAAATAATTACAAATCGCGAGGACAAATTTCGAATGAAAACTTTTGAGCTAGTGCTCACTGAAAACCATTAACGTCATCGTGTTAACGCATTTGTGTAAACATCTGCATAGTATCAGAGTAAAAACTTTGTTTGAACCTCAGGATGTATTTGACTGTTGGTAATATGTCCTTTTTAAAATCAATATGCGCAAAATAGTACAGTGTCAGGCGACGCTGCCCAGCAATAAAAACTAAAAACAGATGATGAGCGCCTAAAAAGGCAACGGAGCAGTCATGCTGTGCAATCCGCTAATAATGCAATAGAATGTTGATTGACGATTCGCTCAATTCTTACCCGGCCTAAATTCTTCTCTTGCGCCGTTGATTTTTACTTCCGTGTCAGCGGCTACAAGAAGTTTTTGGCTGACCTCTTCAGCTGTTGCTTTGGTTGTACTTAGCACTTCAATCAGAGACTCATCGTCGACAAGAGAACCCTAAATGGAAAAAAAAAGACATTGTGTTAGTTATCTTATTAGTGCAAAGACTCAGTTTAAACCACAAAAGTGTTCGCCTTTCCTTGGGTAGAAATATATTATAGCTCATACAAGTCTTCGTGAGCGCAACATTTGTTAAGACGCAATGAAATGAAGATAACCACTTGAGGAATAGCCCACCCAAAAAAGCACGAATTTAGTTACACGGATAGTTAACGAAATGTGAAAATCTAATCTTTAACAAAATCTAAAGGGGAGCTTCCAATTCCACAAATCCATAGATATCTTGCAAAAACTGCCAGAATTAAATTTGCAGACATCATCGAGTTAATACCAGAAATATACGAATTTTTTACACTATTTATTTCTCATTAATCTTTTGACCGTTCTCACAGTCGGACTTCCATACCTGAGTGCTTGTGAGTCTGAACAGCAAGTTATCTTCCAGTTCCTTCATTTTTCGCTTGTTCGAAGCGACGTCTTCCATTAGTTTTGTACGCTCAGCCTCCAGCTCCTGTAGTAAATTATACATGGACGTGAGTTCAGACTGCATACATTAATTCTTGATGTAAGGAATTAACGCCCTTTAATGGTTCGGGCGCATGTCTTGGAATCAACCAGCCCTTAAAACGTACAACACGCGTTTCTATGGATAAAAAAAAAGCAAGCGCTAGACCCACGGAAAAGGCGAATTAAGTCTGTAAAAGAACAGGTTCACCCTAAAATATCAGCATGACAGAAGCAATACAGCTGGTAATAAGGATGGACTATTTCCTGCGCAACACATCACGGAAAAAGAGCTGTTTGTGTCAACTTACCGCTTTTTCAGTCAGGATCACACGGCCCAGCAGCTGATCTTCCAAACCTTTCATGGTCACCGTGAAGTCAATAATAGAAGTTCGAGCACTGATCTATTTTAGAAAATAACGAAAATAATTCAATTAATTATATATTATTTGAAACGACCGCACATCGGTCGTATGATGTTACGACCTGTATTATGATTTTAATTCTACACTGAAATTTCTTTCTATCGCTTGATGTGTCCATGGGATAATTGAGAGAAAAAATCCACCAGTGAAACTAAAATCTAAATTGAATCTCTACCAAAGATTAAAGAAAATTCCTTCAATCAAATTGTAAAAAAAGGCAATTGCAAAAACATTGAATACAGAAAGACCTGTACTGTTCTCAAGTTTTAATATTAAGTGTAAATTTGAGTGATTACCTATTTATAACTGTTGTGTTGCTCGTTGCAAGGGTAAAATACAAAAATAGATGGACTTTCATTCATGGCAAACAAATATACAACGTACCTCAGGGGTGTAAGCGGGGTTTGAGAGCTTCGTTGTGATGTATAACATAAAGCCCTTCATGACATCAATCTCTTTGTCTCCGACTTTCACCTTTAGAGTGCTGCCACTTTTGATGAAATTCTTCTCCAATACATTGTCAAGAGCTGGGTCCATTTCCTCGCCCACGTCCTCGATAAGCAGCGGTCTTCCCAATGAGAGGCTGTCTTCAAGATGGTTCCGGAAGTATTTGTGATTGAGAGAGGTAACCTGTTGCCAAAATATTCACTTTCAGAGATCAGCTATCCCCCATGAGATTGTCTGCTATAAGTTTTATGCTACTAAGCCCAGGTATCCAAGAAACTACAGTACTTGATGGCCAATTTCTAAGCCTTTCTACGAAATAAACTTGCACATGTTTCCAAAGCGAAGATGCATGTTGTAAAACAAAACAGGCAGTTAGGCCGAATTATCAAAACAGAACGTACAGGAAGCAAAGTTTATGGTTGAAATAAACCCAGCAAAATTTTTAACTTCACTGTTCATAGGACGCTGTACATGCATGGAACCACGAATACGAACATAGCAGGCCCTGCAACCACCCACCTGCATCTCACTGTCCTTTTCTCTGTTTTTAATCCAGGCTTTTCCTTGACCCTGCGGATCTATCAACAGAGGATACCTTGTTGCCTTGGTGACAATAATGCCATTCTGGACAGATAATTCGTCGTTTGGTAACCCCTGAAGATTCCATTCACCCACCTGAAAACACAAAAAAATGAGAATAAAGCCGGTCAACAAATGACTGATGTCTACATTTGTAGTGCTTTATAAAGTATTATGTCGACTAAATTCGATGGGAAAAATATATTTCGTACCGTTGCAGCATCAACAAGCATTCCCGTGACATTAAGGTTAGCGGTAAAAGGAATCTTGCGTGACTTCATATCCTTCTGCCATTTTCCCATCAACATGTCACGGAATTCCTGGTTGAAAGGACCAGAGTAAGACAAAAATCCTGTGCACAGCAACACGTCTCCAACCAACCTGCGAAAAGAATACAACTACTTGACATAGTCGAAAAATAAAACACCTTTGGAGAGGACGTCAAGTTCTGATCCCATTTTCTGTCACACTCTATGTTACGCAACGTCGTGACAGGGAGAGGGACAAAACGAGACTCTTGATGTCACCCTGATATGGGATAAATCTTATTGTACGCGGCCGTAGGGGAATGTTGTACCTGCCAATCTGTGCTTCAAACTCTTTACTCTGTTCAGTCCATCTTTCTTTCTCGCCACCTAATCCACCAATCAGAGTGGAGGCCGCTAACATTTTCCGGCGACATGTTTCTGCGTCATCCAGAAGATCCTGTAAAATTTTCAGATAAAAATACGAATAAAACAGTTGATAATCACCAGTTTTACCAAAGTTAAGTCAACGAAGTTCAGATTGCCATGACATTTAACGTACAATGGTATCGTTTGTGGAATTTTTCTGGACAGAAACTGGGTTCTCTACACTAAGTTACATAAAATATCTCAAGGCTCGATAAAAACACCATCCGGTAGTTAGGAACAAGCAGTTCTTCAAGCTTTCTTGTCTAATGGGAAAGGGTCCATTCAAATCATCATCAGACAAAATCACTATCAAAAACGAGCAAGAAGTGGCCCCCGGCAAGCATGAAATATGAAAGCTCCTTGCCAGATCGCATTCACGATTTTTTCGAGCCCTGTGTCTGTTTAACTATTTTAAAAATAGTTCCTTGAAATAAAGACAGTCTACGGTCAACCAGTTTTACCTGTTTTTCTTGCACTGCCTTATCGTACATGGCCTGCACTTTATCAAGTTCAGCCTGTTTTTCGTCCAACTGTGCCTGCGCCTCGTTCAGATCGTTTTGAGCAACGTTTAACTTCGCCTCCTGAATTGTCAAATTTGCCTGAAAAAAAGATACTTGACGCTTAGTCTTCATTCTCACACCACCAAGAGAAGATAGACGCAAAAGGATGATAGATGTGACGCTAAAAATTCAGTGCAGAAAAGAAACTGAATACTCTCTAATGCAACAGTACAATTTACCTTTAACGGTAATACTTCTTTGTTAATGCCAAAGAAAATGGACATGGATTTCGTCCAGGAGCACAAACCAGCGACATCTCCGCACACCTGTAAATGAAGAATCCAAAAATTAACTTGCCATTAATTCTGTCTAGGAAAAGTAGTAACATTGTAACACAGGGTGCTTTCTATACCAGCCAAAATTTTCGGAAATTTCGGCCGAGAAATACATGGAACGCTTCGGCCCGCTTGGGAATTTACCGGTCACAATGGACCAAATCCAGAGGTGGTCCTCTTTAACCGGTTGGTCCACTCCGATCAAAAATTACCCTTCCATTTGTGAAACAAATCTGTCGAATCGTAAATGGACGCTTCGATCTGGCAGCAAACTTAGGGCGCTTTCCATTCAACCAAAACTACTGGCTGGAATTTTCGGCAACTTGCAGTAGCGAATGGAACAGCATTTCCACCTATTTTCAAAAAAATTTTCCCGCAAGTTTTCTTTCCATTCAACGTTGCTCCCGGAAGTTCTAGAATTTTCGGTTGAATGGTTCGTACTTCGGAAAATTCAAAAGTTTCCGGAATTTCTGGAAACGTTTCCCGTAAATTTCTGAACCATTTGCCGCTGTTTCCAAATTTTGGAAAGTTTTGGTTGAATGACAAGCGGCCCTTGGCTCAATACAACTGTGTTATTCCATTTATGATCGGTCGGTTTGGCGCAGTGGAAAGCTCGTAGATAGTCAAGGCATTGACAAACACCATGGTGCTGCCATAAAATAAATTTGGTGCGTTCTTTGTTCGAACTACATACCCTTTTAGCAGTCTCCATATTGTAGTCTTCCATTTCCAAATAAGGGGCTAAGAGTTCTACCATTTCATCATTGATTGTGTCTTTCGGGAAACTTTGAAGTGTCGTTAGGAAATTCGACTGACTCATTAACTGAATAAGAAAAGACAATATACCATTAACAGAGTTTCCAGTACAGATTATACCAGCAATTCTGAGAAGCACAAGTACACAAAATATATAACCTTTTCCAATCAAACAAGGACTTGGTGTATGATGAACCTTGGTTAGTGTGAAATAGCTTGTTCTAACCAAACAGGACTTCCGGTTGTTTTGACCGGACTTGAACTTAGGAACCTGCACGCTTTTCCCTTTCACCGCGTCTCGCCTTTCTCGGGTGGGGTGATTTTCACGCGAGTTGGCGTTTCGCTCGCTTTACCGTCCGTGAGGAAAAATGGGGACTACTCGTAGTCTAGCTTTTCCCCTAGTCTGGGTGAATCTCTTTTCTTACAATTGCAAAGTAAGGCGATAGCTGTTAAAGCTTTAACGTCCCACCTTCCACACATCGCACGAGTATCTATAGAAGCTTAACTTTCTCACTGTTTTCGCCATTTTTTAAAAGATCCGCGTTTTATTTTTGATCTTGATTTGAGTTAAATAAGCAAATCATATGCCTTGGAGACGAAAATAGCGGTGTTACCTTCAGTGACTCAGACCAGGATGGCTTACAGCAGTTTCTTTCCGCGTCAAACACCACTTGGTCCAGTCTCTTCCGAAACAAGATCAAAACACAGTCCATAATGCGCATGATCAGATGTGGAGGCTTGGGCAGCTTACGGACCGTCGCGATATGAGCAGCTTTGATGGTCTGGGGACAAACATATTTGAATAGTCTGTTTAATTTGATATCATGATTTCTCTCTCTCCCTAAACTCTAGTAGTATGGGAGATGGTAAATAAATCTTACATTGACCACATCGTGTCTTATTTCTCGTTACTCTGAAACTATGGTCACCTGGACAGTGGTGGTTGGAAATACTCATTCTTATGCACTGCCTTAACAATTATCATGTAGAGTGTTATATACTTGATTCCGACAATACATTCGGGAAGAATAAGTGGCCGTTTTAGCCGAGTTAGGTAAGTTTCATTCCTCACATCGTGACTCAATCTAGGGGCGCTTTCCATTTCGGTTTGAAATCTCGGAAATTCCACATGTTAAATGGAACGGTGCATTGCGGTTGCACAGACCCAACCCAAGCCACCGCGTGTTTGGTTATAGTTCTTATAAGCAAGATGCAAAGGAGCAGTTCTGGGGACCACGATTATGTCAAATGGAAAAGGACATTTCGGTCTGACCGACCGAAATGACCAGACCGGTCAAAGTGGACCACCTTCCAAGGTGGTCCCAAATATTCCGATCGGTGCGAACCAAAATGGTCCTTTCCATTTGATTTCTAACCGAAATTTTCGGTATTTTGGGCTGGATAAAAAGCGCCCTAGATAGCCACCAAATAAAATAATTTACATAACTTTAACATAATTCAGTACCGAAAGGATGTGTAGAAGAGCGTGCAACATTAGTTACATTAGTTACTTCTGACATTTAAACCACTAAATTTGGCTAAAATCTTATATTTCTATTCAAGGGTCAAAGAGGTTAAGTTTGTGGGATGATTGATAGAGAGTGGTTGCTGCTCTTAATACCAAAAGGACGAGATACTTTGGAGGAGTGAAACAAAGGTCCAATATACAACAGCGTTCTCACCTGTAAAGCAGCTTCTGCTTCCTCCAAAGCTGGCCTGGCAGCCTCAAGTTTTTCTTCAGCAACAGCTTTATCGGCCTAAAAATGACAACACAATGTTACAGAAGACGCGTGAGTATTATCAATGTTACTTCAGAGAATTTTTCGGGGCACCCAGCGATCTACAGAAAGTTGCCTTGTTTACGGACCTGACTGTTCATCAGAGTAGATTCTTAAAACGAGGGTTTCGGGATAAGGCGTGGAATTATAAGCATGGAGACAAATTGCTATTCAACAGGATTGCGAGATGGCTGTCAAGGCGCCAAAGTCACCATAAGTTAGCCGAGACCCCACCCTCGACCTCGCTATGAACAGTCAATCGGATGCATAACTTACCGCAATATCGTCCACAATAGCTTGAGCTTTGTCTTTGACTTTCTGAACCTGAGCTTTGACTTTCTCTGCAGCTTGAGCTTTCACTGTAACCTCTTTAAGCACCTGTCGAAAACAGTGTTACCGGTCGGTTATAACATTTAACTGAAACATTTCACACGGGTAGGAGTGTTTCATCTTATCAACCGCCAGAAGTGGGTCAAAAATATAAGCTGAAGCCTTATAACAGATTCAACACTCTTTTAAGCATTTGACCTTCCCTCTGAAATGATTACTAATGCTTGCGAAACTTATAGGGATCTGACCTTCAAACTTTCGAGCAATAGTCTTGTTTTTGATGCAGACTTAAAGGATATGGTTTCAGGTTTAAGACCCTTCGACACTCGTTTTCATTTTACAGTTGAACCTATATTAAGTGGCCATCTTGGAAGAAGAAACAAGTGGTCACTTACAAAAGGTTGGCCGGTTAGGTTTGAGTTACTGAGTTGGTGACTTAGAGTGCCCAAGGCTTCTAAATAGATGTTCAACTATATAATTGATACTAGTTCTGTTGCATTTCAACTGAAACAGTTTACATAAAAAAAAAGGTTTCTACTCTCATCCAGAATTGTGGGGTCAAACCTACTCTGATACTTGGTTCAATTCAGGAAAAAAAATGAAGAAAGCCTCCATTCCGTTTATCTTGGCTCCCTTTTCGAAAAGCATTGCTCGAATGAAACAATCCGTATAATGAATCTTACCAGTTCAGCCTTCTCCGATGCCACGGCCAACTCCTTTTCTTTCACAGCTAATTCTTTAGAAAGTTGAGCTACAGACTCACTGGCCTCTACGAGCTTGTCTAAACCAGTGTTCATTCTCCGTGCCAGCTCGCCAATTTGTTCTCGTTTCAAAGAGTAGATGGACTTGTAGCCATTGATGAAGGAAAGGTAGGACTTGGGAGTAACGTGTGTCGCGCGACGATATCTAAAGTAGAGACACAAAAGAGTAAACGACCAAGAAAGAATTTCAGAACCGATCTTTTTGATCATGAACAAGAGTATTGTTTGGACATAAGAACTTCTTCAAAATTGCTCTCAATAAAGGTGAGTTTACAAAAGTAAATGGCTTCCCACTAATTTTTATTTTATTTTATTTCTTTAAATGTGTTTAAATTAATTACAACAATTGAAATTTTCCAAGAAGCGTTTAGCAATTATCGTCGCTGACAAGAATTCAAGGGGTTACAATTGGCAATATATTGTCCTGGTTTTATTCCTTATCTACAAAGGTATTTAGGACAATTCCTGAACAGCAATGGACTCAAAAAAGATAGGAGAGGTACCCATACGCGATACTATATGTCTATACGGAGAAAATCAGTCATGCTACATAGCATAACACGATAGGAAAACTGAAAGGAATATAATTGGACATCTCTCACCTTTGAAAATAATCAGTGCAGCTTATGGCCACACCGTCATGAAACACACCCATAGCATGCACCACTTGTTGTTTGACTTCAGGCACACAAACGATCTCGAAATTGGACAGAAAGTGATCTGCTACAGCAATCAAAGCATCTTTTGGCCAGCGGCTGAACCAGTCCATCGTACATCCGCTGATTAGACCAGGAAACTTGAGTGATCTGTTGCGGAATTTCTCACCGACCTGAACACGAAAAAAAAAAAAAGGAGAAAAAGATGAGCTTGGGAGCTGATCTTGATGAGATCGATCCTTGTCGAGGATACGAATGTATTTGTTTTCTATTCAATTTTTAGACACAAAAAGCACAACATCTTTCGAAGTTTATGGCGGAGCTTTGTGGTCTCGATATTTATGTAGAATATGAACATACCGGCGAGAAACACAGAACAACATGAAGATTGTGCTTGGCTCGCGTCAGGAAGTAGTCGTACAGATTTTCCCCTGTCGGTGGTCGCCTGGGAAATTCCTTCTTCATCACAGGTATCAGCTCGCTGCAGATTTCGTCAATCTCATCGCGAGCAAAAAGATTGGATATTTCGCCGGAGGATAGAAGATTGTTGAGGTACTCAAGGAAGCCCTCTTCTTTGATTTCTTGGTCGGTGAAGATGAATGTTATTCCCAAGCCCTGCATTCCTGCCACTCGGTAAAGATACTTGAGGTCTTCCATCAAGTTGGAAGCGTTGTAAGACCTATGAAATGTAAAATAAAAACCACGTCAACAGAAGACTACGAGGAATTGTTTTTCCACAATGAGTACAAATCACGAACCTGGCTGGCTTACTATCTGATCCGAAGGTTGCCTGGTTGTTTCAGTCACTGGCTGGCTGACTGACAATTGCCCGACTGACTAACTGATATATTAATTGACCGGTTAGAATTGTTTGCCTATACATAATGCTACTCGTAAACCTGCCTGACATACTGTCCGATTTAAAGGTTGTCTGGTTACTTTAGTCACTGACTACTAGCTCGCTGACAGGCTGACTGACAACCTGACTGACCGATTAACTGACAGGTTGGTTGCTGTAGTCACTGGCTACTGGCTGGCTGGCTGATAACCTGACTGACTGACTGATCCATTAAGTGACAGGTAAATTGACAGTTTGCTTGCTCTTTAGTAACAACTGTACCATTGGCAAATTGACCGTTTGAACAAAAGAACGGAGTTACAGATGACTTCGATAAAGAAAATCGGATGGGAAAGATGTAAATGACTGAAGGCTGAATGTTTTTACACTGATCATTCAAATACAAATACCTCCGTACAAAACTGGAACTCGCTAAAGGTAGTAATAAAAGGAAACTGACCATCCTAGTCAACTGCCTTAGAACTGTCTACGTTGTGATAACGCTTAACGAGAATCCACGACGCGGGAAAGAACTTATTTCCTACGTGTAATATCAGTAGCATAACTGAGCGCGTTAATGCATTCTCTGCCAATATACATCAATGAGAGTTTATATAAAGCCCCCACCTTGTCAGAGTGATCTGAAAGGTTTTGTAGCCAGCTATGAACGAAGCCAGCCGCGTCAAACTCTGCTTTCCAGAACCACCTACCCCGACCAGGAGGGCGTTACCACGCGGGGTGCGAATTATACGGGACACCTGTAAAAGGAAGAGAAAGAGTGTGTAACTGACGTCTATCTACAGAGTATAATCGTGCGAACTGTGCTTTAAATGCTATTGCAGGGCATAAATATATTAAGGACTCAAAGATCCTCCTAAAAGACAAAGAGGACCAAATGAGGCAAGCGACTTTATAGACATTACATGTTAGTAATAACAATTTAGTCATGGATGATCCTACAATGTGGATGATGGTCAGCCACTGTAGAAAAAGGTAGAAGGCGTGTGTGAAATGTTATTACCCTCATAAGATGAATCATGGCGTCTCTGAAAAACACAAGATCCATGCCGGCGCCTCGGATACTCTCATTGTACTGCTCCAAGTACATCTTGAGTCTTTCTTCAAGGCCTTCGAAGGATGGAATCTTAAAGATTGAAATAAAGAAAAGAGCAAAATTAATGACGGAAAAATACAAAGACAGCACTAGCAAAAAAAATTATGACAACCTTAGTAACAACATGAAAGGAAGGTTAAAACAACACAAAGTCAGAAAACATTCGTAGCTTCAATCGTAGAAGTTTCAGTTATATATATCTCTGGATTTTCACTGCGACGAGTTCTCGCGGCGAGGGATTCGAACATTAAAAATTGATTACGAATTCTTGAATTGTTTTCTTACCGGTTCATAAACCTTTGGAGTTTCAAAGTCAGCGTCTTCTGGCTCGTCACCTGTGGCTTCTGGCGCATCCCTAAAAAACACAACGTAACTGGACAATTAAAAGATGACGTCGATTCACTCTAACTACCAGAATCCTTCAGTTTGATGTTTTCTTGTGGCTTGTTATTCAAGGCTCGGCGGGATTGACAAATCGAAATGAGAAAGCAAAAACAAAATGAATTCTTGTAGTTGTAGTCAAATGTCGTCATCGTGAAAGTGGCAAGTTAGGCCACTTTCACGATATGGTGTTGATCAGTCGTCAAAGCTAATACCCACAATCACAGTTTACCAACAGATTGGAATTTTGTGCTGGTCTAACAAAGACATTAAAAAGTCAAGTTTGCGGAGAAATTACTAAGCTAAACAAAGCAGGAGCAAACCTCAAAAAGTCCACCAGATATGGTAGATCCTCGATCATCGCCTGTAAGTCTTCTCCGAGTTCCTCGCCGATAACACGCTTCATTGTCTTCTCAAACCAGTCCTTGTCAGGTTGATTCGTGAAACGATCGGAAATGACTCGGATGCACTCGTGTTTCCATAGAGACATCAACGACTGCTCAGTCGATACCACTTCAGAGATGCAGTAGAGAATACCTTGCCATATCCTGGACAAATCTCTCAGGTTAAAGATGTAGTGAAATTTGGCTGGCGTGGGAAGCATTTTGATCTAAAAAAAAGTGAAACTATTTTGAGATATCGAGTATGAATAAGACTATGTTTATCACTACCAAATATTTCATTGTTATAGTGAAATAAAATGAAAACTTCACGAAGCACATTGCCTAGTAATTACTGGCAAGCAAAAACAAGACCTGTCTCCAGTTGTTCAAAAGATCGATAGCGCTATCTGCTGGATAAATCACTATCCATTGGATAACGCCATTGGTCTTTGTACCACTTATCCGCTGGATAGCCGTTTATCCGGTGAATAGCCGTTTATCCGCTGGATAGCCGTTTATCCGCTGGATAGCCGTTTATCCGGTGGATAGCCGTTTATCCGCTGGATAGCCGTTTATCCGGTGGATAGCCGTTTATCCGGTGGATAGCCGTTTATCCGCTGGATAGCCGTTTATCCGGTGGATAGCCGTTTATCCGCTGGATAGCCGTTTATCCGGTGGATAGCCGTTTATCCGCTGGATAGCCGTTTATCCGGTGAATAGCCGTTTATCCGCTGGATAGCCGTTTATCCGGTGGATAGCCGTTTATCCGCTGGATAGCCGTTTATCCGCTGGATAGCCGTTTATCCGGTGGATAGCCGTTTATCCGCTGGATAGCCGTTTATCCGCTGGATAGCCGTTTATCCGGTGGATAGCCGTTTATCCGCTGGATAGCCGTTTATCCGGTGGATAGCCGTTTATCCGCTGGATAGCCGTTTATCCGCTGGATAGCCGTTTATCCGGTGGATAGCCGTTTATCCGCTGGATAGCCGTTTTTGGATAGCCGTTTATCGCTGGATAGCCGTTTATCCGCTGGATAGCCGTTTATCCGCTGGATAGCCGTTTATCCGGTGGATAGCCGTTTATCCGCTGGATAGCCGTTTATCCGCTGGATAGCCGTTTATCCGGTGGATAGCCGTTTATCCGCTGGATAGCCGTTTATCCGCTGGATAGCCGTTTATCCGCTGGATAGCCGTTTATCCGCTGGATAGCCGTTTATCCGCTGGATAGCCGTTTATCCGCTGGATAGCCGTTTATCCGCTGGATAGCCGTTTATCCGCTGGATAGCCGTTTATCCGCTGGATAGCCGTTTATCCGCTGGATAGCCGTTTATCCGCTGGATAGCCGTTTATCCGCTGGATAGCGCTATCCAACTTTGAACAACCGGGACCAGGGGACCATTCCTGACTGGATATGAATATGTATGTGAACGCTAATGTCGATTTAACGTCAACGAGAAATTGAATTTGAATATAAATATTAGTGCTTATGTGAATGTGATAGTAAAAGTGAATACGAATCAGAAATACAATTAATGCCTTTGTTCATTATATTTCCATGTCACACCATCTCTTAATAAATCCTGTATAACGAGTGTTCCTGCGTTCTGGAAAGTGTGAACTTTTCAGAATTGGAAATCTGTAGCATCCATCAAGAAATTATCTTTCAGAAAATCAAATCCCGTCTTTCACTAGATGAACAACCTTCCTGTTGCCTTTTCTGATACCGAACGTAAGATCTTTATATTCCGTAAGATAATTATCTCTTGAGTACCTTAGTCAGCTGCCAGAGTCTACGAGTACAGGGAACAAGTTTGTTAGCAAGTTCTTGAACAACACTGGAAAAGCCACGCTCCGAACAGAAATGGCCACTGCCAATAACACCTATTAAACAACAACAAAAACAAAAAACAAAGCATCGTTACCGCAATAAAAAGGTAGGCATTAGTCGCAAATAAAAGATTTTTCCCTTCTATAGAGGGAAGCATCAAGATTGTTCGTGAAAAAAAAAATTAACAGGATGATACACCAGGACTTTCATCAAATCATCTTTTTTTAAAGTGTAGAATACAACGCTTGACGTTCGCACGGTCGTTATCCCTTCCCTGAGTCCTGTCCTTTATACAAAAGTACAACCGAAACCGAATATGTCGCACTAACTTTCTAAATTGCAAGGGTGCTCTTGCGACGGCAAATTCAAACGAACTAAATTTAACAGAAACAGAACAGTCCGAAAGCAGGAAATATTGCAAGCAACTCACCGAAGATCTTATCAATGGAGTTGTTGCTTGGAAGAGTACAATTGAAAACGCTAAACTGCCTCTTGAGTCGCTGTGGAATATCATTTCTTCCACCGCCGGGATGGATCATGGCCGCTAGGAACTGGATATCTGCCAGATTTGTGAAGTCACCGGGTTTCTCTAGATTATAAAAACCCTTGTTCTCCATAACTTGACGGACTATTTCATTGGTTACCTGATAAATCATAAGACCAGTGTTAGAGCACGTTTAACTTAATCGTGTAACATTGGAAACAACAATTCTTGTACAGCATGTTTTAGGCTAAAATGCGACATGGAACGCGTATTAGCAAACCTGGTCTCCCCATTCGTTGATAATAGGCATGTTGATATCATCAATAAACACTGTCATCTTTTTGCCAGCAGGAGGGCCGTACGTGTTGCCCATTCGCTTATCCACGTAGCTCTCAATCGTCCGCTGGAACATCAGTGGGGTGGACGCCGAGGAGAAGTTAAAGCTCTTACTCAAATGTCTTTCAGGATCGTATTTCCCCATGTTCCCCTTGATCATGACTGTCTTAGCTGTGCCTTGCTCGCCGATTAACAAAGCAGCCTGAAAAAAAAAGAGCGAGTTAAAGCGAGTTAAAGGTGAAGACTGCTGGGACCCAAAGATGCCATGAGATGGTCCAACTTGGAGGAGGAAAGAGGCCGGCCAAAAAAAAAAAACACCTGGCGGAGAACAGTGATGAAAGAGCTGGGAAGATGGGTCTAACATGGGGTGAAGCGCTGGCCATAGCACAGGTCACAGCTCAGGACAGGGTTGAGTGGCGACGTTTTGATTGCGGCCTTCTGTTCCAACCGGAATGAAGTGGTTGAGTGAGAGTGAGTTATCTTTGCTTGGATGATTTCAGTTCTCTCGATCAATATGGTAACCTACCTTTCCCTGTTTGGACACAATCTGGATGAGGTAGTCCGTGCGCACGTTATCCACGTTTGGAACAAGGATGGAAAGGAAGTCAGGGTTGTGATCTCTCGGATATATGTATTCCTCCACACGATTGTTCCAGTGCTCCCATTCGCCTATGATTTCAAATACACCAGAATAAAACGCTCAGTATAAGTGCGCGGTTACTGGTTACACTACCCAGCCGAAAAGCACAGGAAAGCTGGACACTTGTATATGATTCTAACCACACCGACACAGCTAGAATATACTACGGTCGACCATTTATCTAAAGATACACAAAAAGAGCAAAATAGTTGCCCATACTAGTCACCGAGTTTAAAAGTAAGAGCTAGGACGTCAAAAGTAAAGAACAAGAAATCGACAAAAAGGCGTCCTTTACAGTAACTATTTTTAGGTTTCATATAACTATGTTTTCAAAAGCCCGTCACTGGCAGTCAAACAATAATCAAAATGACATGTTTTTTCCCTTTTCTTCGAAGCGTAAAACAAGACGAAATAACATCAACCAAACAGCTTAACAGATCCATACTATCCAATGATGTTTAAACTACCTCGCTAAAAGAACGACTTTACAATGACCAAATGAGTTCCAGCAAACTCTTTCGAAGAGCCTAGGATTTAACTACCTGTTTCGTTAACCAGAAACTCAAAAATCGTGTCCAATGATCCCTCGTCAATGGGAGGCAGATCTAGTTCAAAGTTTCCTCTTGTGAACTCCTCCATCTTGGCTCGATCATCCAGCTCTAACAGCGCTCCAATACTCCACATGAGACAGAAGATGTAAAGCCTCTCCAGATGGGATTCCGAGACGTTGGTTCCGTCTTCTTTCTTGGGAATCAGACCTTCCAGAATAGTCAGAGCCTAAAAAGGAACGAAAACCACTACAATAACATTTCCTGTTGGAATGTTGTCGAAATCATATGCATGCAAACACAGTTGTTGTTCTATTATAAATATTACACACTAAGAACGGACATTGCGAATGCCATAGATGTAACTATGGTATACAAGAAGGGGCAAGCTGGGGCTTTAGTGCGAGAACACCGACCACCAGTCCACGTAATCAAGACCTTACATTGTAAATATGAGACCACGTACTCTAAAGTGCAGGTACCTACCTGCATGATATAATTGTGTTCCAAAATGTCCATTTTAAAGACGCAGTTTTCCCGGGCAAAGCGCATGATTTCATCGAATGACTTGTCAAACAGACCTTTCAAGACCTCTGCCTCAGCTTCTGGCCGTTTGTTCAGCCACGCCTGGGGAGATATCAGCAAGAGTGTTAGGGTTAAGATTACGAGAAAGATTGACACAACATGTTATTTAACCTGTTTACACTTAACATTACAACAAAACCTCGGCAAAAAAAATACCAACGATTCATTGGCAATTGTTGAGTTTTTCGAGCGACATCCTTTAGACAATTGACAAAAAATATCCACAAGACTATGAAAACGTGGGCGCTATCCATTAAGCAAAAATTCCGGTTGAAATTTCGAAAATTCCACGTGCCCAATAAAACGGTACATTCCAGTTACACAGACCCGACCCAAGCCACCGCGCGTTTGGTTATTGTTCTTGTAAGCAGGATTCAAAAGAGCGGCACTGGGGACAACAATTTTGTCAAATGGAAAGGGACATTTCGGTCCGACCGACCGAAAGAAATGACCAGACCAGTCAAAGTGGACCACCTTCAAAGGTGTTCCCAAATATTCCGGTCGGACCGAACTGAAATGGTCCGTTCCATTTGATTTCTAACCGAAAATTCCGGAATTTTGAGCTGAATGAAAAGCACCCAGTGATAAGACTTCAAAGGAGAAATTCAAATGGGATTAACCTACTGACAACCATACAGTATGTGCACTTGACAAATAAAGATTTACTACACTTTAACTTTCAAGGGCATGCCAAGGAAAAAAGGCTGTAGGGTCTTTTTTTTTTTAAAAAAAAAAGAAAAAACCTGCCAGTAATCTCTGTAATTTCTGTAAGCTCCAAGCAAGCTTTAAATTTAAAAATCGCCAGATAGGTAGGCTAGGGAGGCTAGGAAGATGGGTTAGGAAGAGCTTGCCCGCAAGGCACGATTTCTGAGCCAAGTGAAAGAGACTCAGCATTTGCACGCCATTTTTACCTGAAGAACAGGTCTCCAATCCAATCCAGAAGAGCTCATGTACACCATCCCGTTCCGAGAAACAGTGGCCGGTGAGGCGTTATCGATGTTGTGAGGCTCAAAGATGATCTTACATTGAGGTGACATTGGAATTCGGTCTCCATTTGCTAGAGTGAGTGTTTTGTTATCGTCTAATACGCTGTTTAGATTCTCTATCCAGATGGCATCTACTGGCCCATCCAACACAATCCAGATACGCTCCCCTTAGGAACAAAAATCAAGAGGAATCAAAGTCAAAATTCCAGAAAAACTACCGTAAGTTGGTTTGGTTCGCGATTCAATGAGCTAGACGGCGATGTAGCTTTCTCTTTGTTTACCCAACTCTTAGTCTTTAAGTAAATATCTTGTTAAGTTTTCACGCTTTATTGCTGAAAAAATTGCATGTAAAGGAATGTTGTAATGGAATATTTCTTGCTCTAGAGTAGAAATAGTCATATCAGAAAATTTATTGGTCATAAAATTTACCTACTTTCTGTGCGAGGGGTACACACCTTTCTTAGCACGAAGCGTCTTCCTCCATAGTGTCGAAAAGATACCGTCGGTCCAGTCATTAGTAGAGACATCCAATCGTCCAAACATTTGAGGTGCAGTGATGGCTTTGGGGTTCATTCTCATTTCTCTGTGTGGTGTCCCACAATCTGTCATTGCTTTCATCAAGACGTGGATACAATTAGTTTTACCTGCACCACTGGGGCCGAGTACCATCATTCCATGACGCACTCGCTGAGTCTCAAATAACTGCAAGAAATTCGTAACATGGTCTTATCTATATCAAAGAACAAGTGTTAATTATCAAAATCGTGCGGTAGACACTCGTGTAGAATACGTTCTAGTTTGACTGAGACAATTGACAAAGAATTACCCTCAGTGAATAAGCTTAAGCATTTATCAAAACCAGTCAGAAGATAAACAAACATGTACAATTGTGTCTAATTCACGCTAAGTGAAGGAAAAGACCTAATGATTACAGAGGGAAATGAGACAAAAACAAGCAAAACACAACAAGGTTTTCAATTTTTTTTTTTCTAAAGGGCTGTTACCTGGATAAGTTTCAGTCTCCATGACGGATGGTTGATAAGTCCAGCCTCTTCAACCTGGCTGGCTATCGCTTGTTCTAATTCAGGATACCCGGCTTTGTCCAACACAATTCCAGGGAAGAGATCGTTAATAAGACTTAAGAACAATGGTTCGTCTTCGTCAATCTATGATAAAAGACCATGTTTAGATATAAAAAAAGAACTTTACACTAGACGCACTTGCATGCGATCGATTTTTTTTCTTGTAGGGAACGAAATAGGAGGAACATTTCTACCCATATCAGTTGGCGAGAGCCTTAACCATCAACGTTTCTACCTGAAATACAAGGACATTGACCTAACCAGAAGAGTTAACCTCGTTTAAAGATGATTTTTCTTTCAATACCGCTAGTTTGAAGTATCTTACCAGTTTGGAGAGGTTCATATCCCTGAGCACTCTCATAACAATCGTGTTCTCACTGTCCCCGACACTTTGCCGTTTTGCAGCACCCAGAGTTCGTAAAACAGACAAAATGTTCCTCAGGCCAAAATCATAATGCACCTGAAAAAATAATAAAATAAATAAATAAGCAAACAAATAAAAACAAGTGCCGTAATAAGTAAGGCGAGGCAAGAAGGACAGGGAGTAGGGCACAGAAAGTACATGTATCCGTTGCAGTTAATTTTTTATTTTAGTTAATATATGTTTTTCTTTTGTTTTTGTTCATTAGCATACATTACCATACCCAAAAACAATGGACACATAAAAATTAACTGAAATAAAAAAAATCAAGAACTACGACATATCCATCAATTTAAGATTAGTACCTGTTTGGACAGCTGTTCTTCACAGAGTTTGTACAGAGTGAAGAATTTCCTGGCCAAAGTCACATTGTCAATAAAACCGCAGCTTGCAAGCTTCACACGAATGATGATCTGTCTGTCAGGGACCATCATTGCCACTGTACGGAACTGGATCTTAAGATTCTCAGGCAGCTCTTGGCGACCAGCGTACCCTGGGTTCATTGTCAAGAAGATACCTGGAATGAAGGCGAAATCAGGGTCATATTTAGTACGCCGAACAATATGAATCCCTAAACAGAGATGTATATTGTATTTTTAGAAACCAGTAAAGAAAAGCCATTTTAAAATCAACTATTTTCAGCGGCACTTAAATGAAATGTACGATTACGACAACAAGGAATAACAACCATCCCGGGTAACCTTATAATTTTTAGATATGGTACTTTTTCCCTCAAAATGAATCCGTGAGCAAGAAACTGCCAATGCATGCATTTATACGCTAAACGCATCAGGAAGCAAAAAAGACAGCCTGTTTGCCACATTTCTTTCCAAACTCAAATTAAAATTGATTTATTTTTATGTACATTGCTACTCTATTACCAAATTCAGGATTCATATCCACTACATCGCCGTCGGAGAATATAAACTGCTTCTTCCGCTCCTTCTTACACATGAGCACAATGTAGATCTGCTGGGCTGCTACTGACAACACAGGGAGGTCAATACGGTTGAACTCATCAAAACAACCCCAGCTTCCAGATTGGGCAAGGCCTATAAAACACCAAACAATTATCAGTTGATTATCATCCATTATATTAGCAAGTGTCATTTACTAGGAATAAGAATAACTAAAAACTCCATAGGCATTCCTTTACGCCCATTTTTATTGGTTTATCTTTATTTACTCAGGGAAATAATGTGAGGAATTACATAACCACACCTTTGAAAATTCGACCAAGTCCTCGGTAGTCCATTTGATCAGAGCAGTTGAACACAACGACATATTTACCAAGCGCTTTACCCATGTCTTTTGTAGTCTCTGTTAAAAGAGGACAAATAATTATGTAATACAATATTGACTACGTAACCGGTATTTTCAAGTGTTGCCTAATATTTCTCCACAAAAATAAATCTGATTCAAAGTTGTTTAACGCTTGTGCCAGGTACCGTGCCGTACGCTCAAACCTTTTGGAGGTTTCAAAACAAATACTTCAGTCCACTACCTTAAACACTAGCGTTAAAATCTAACCAGTTTCAGCCGCTGAATGTCCATCGTTGCCAATAGACCTTCCACATTGACCCACACTGGTCCACGTTTTGAGCGACACAGTGCCAGCGTTTTATGAAACTATCCAAGTTTAATCATCACAAATCAAACCTGTTTTTCCTGTTCCAGCGGGTCCAGCTGGTGCACCACCCATGGACATTGCAAGAGCTTGTGCCAATGTTATGTAGCAACGGTCAGTTAATGGCGTGATGACAAGTCTTTCCGTGCAGCCAATGAATTCGTTCTGATAAATGAAGTCAACGTCCGTTATAGAAACCATACACCTGTCCGTGTCATCGTTGAAGTAGAAGCGTATTTGTTTAAGCCATTCAAAGTCTCCTGGAGTCTTGATGTGCATACGACACTGAAAAAGACGTTTGAACATAGAAGAAGTACTAGTAAGACCAAAAGGAGGGATCAAATACAAATTCTTTAGAGAAAAAGACTAATATCTAATAGGGGTTCATCTGAACCCTTGTATGTACATGAGTTTTTAAGCTAATAGAATACTTTTTCACGCTATGCGTATGTAAGGAGTATGTGGATGTTTAAATGTCCAAAGACAAAAACAGAGAAAATTCTGGTGAGTAGAAGTTAAGTGCTTTATTTTAAATTAATCTACAATTAAGCCAGCAAGAACACGCTAAAAGGAGGAAAGTTTGAATATTCACCATTAAAAAATTGAAAATCGCTGAGGTTTTATTTCACTTACCAAATCATCAAAGATGTCTCGCTGATGCACATGAATAGTGATAAGCGTCTCAAACTTTGTTCTTTCAACCTTGGTAAGCTCTTTTGTCGTCTGCTCGATTAATACATTTAGCAGTTCCAGGAAGGCTGTGTTGGTTTGTTGCATGACCTTTTTGTCGTATTTTGCATTCGTTAGCGCTTCTGTTGAATCTCTGGTCCAAATCATTTGGATTCCTAACAAGCCGACCTGTAAAATTTATTTAAGTTACTAAATCAAATAACCAAAACACAGCCGCAAAAAGAAATGAAATATTAACCTCATAACATGAACATTCCTTAATAAACCTCGGAATTATTTATTATTTTATAAAACAAAGAAGGTACACTCAGGCGTACACGCGCTATTGCACGATGACAGAAGTTATTACATGTAGGTGTAAATGAGACTTCAGAGCGTGATTACAGGTTACCCAAATGCATCTCTACATACCTGGGCTGGGAAAGTGCTGAGAAACTCCAGCAGGTTGAACCCCTGGTCTTGTACAGCAGTGTGCGCCGTGCGAATCACGCCATGGACTGACTTGCGTGACAATTGTAACAAGGTTCCCAGCCAAACTTCCACATTTCCTTGTGCCATAACAGGTTTTTCGAGCTGAAGGACACAGTGTACACAAACAGCAGAAAATTAACCACAGCCTCGATAATTCAGTTATCAAGCAACAAAGTACACGTTAGACTATCAGCCACTTTATCAACTGATCTCATTTTTAATTATCATTGTACTTTTTGTAAAACGTCTTTGTTGTACAAAGAAAGGGGACACTTGACGGAAGTGAATAAAACAGCAAGTAACTAATGCACGAAATATCCCATCTCACCTCTATCGTTTCACCTTCTGACGAGATGATGGCAAGAATTCGATCATAGTCTTTCTCGTGGAACTTCACCATCTTTGTATTATCAAATACGTTCAGCAAGTGTGCCTATAACATGGACGACAAATATAAATAATTAAAGGCCTTAGTAAAGCCTTTTTACTCGCGTACAATACCTTTATTCGAAGCCATTACAAGCAGAGCCGTTGCTTGACTGACAATAAGAGTTTGGGCCAAAAACTTCAAAGTGAATATGTTTATCGGAGTAAGTTTTACCTGAATGGTATGTGAATCACTAGCTTGTCCGAGAATCTCCAGCAAGACTGGATCGGAAACAAAGAAAAACCTTGGGAAAACAAGACGTTTCTTTTCCAGATATCTGAAAAAGAATGAGCAAATACAAAGTAAGTCTCTGGACAGCTGTACGCTACCATCTAACTTCTTGCAACCAGATACAAACTCTAACTTTTCAAATAAATAACTGCATTAATCGACAACTGTGATGTTAAATTAAAGTTCACGCATGGGTACTCCATTCAATCTGCTTACGCTTATATTACTCGATAAACTTTACAGCAGTGTCTTCTAAAACCATTCGTCCCACTACTTTATCCAAATGGACAGCTTCCTATTACTGGCTTGTGAGGGGTGCTGTTTGACCTACCGAGTTTACCAGACATCATCACTATGAAATATTTCGCAAATGTGCTTCATTTAACTTCACATACCCACTAAGTGATTTCTGACAGAGTTCCAGTTGTTCCAAGAGATGAGGTAACAGTTGCCCGAGGGTTTCATCTCCCACACAGCACTGCACCACATTAGCATTCTCATGCGCTCGGGTCATAATCTTAACCCACTGCTTGTCAATGTTCTGAAACCGTTTGGCTTCCTAAAAGGTAAAATAAAACGGGTGTTAAGTACAATTGTCAAATAGTGAAAGGGCGAGATAAACTGTATGAGCTAGTTTGCCGCTCTAAAGCTGGAAACAACTTAAGGTGGATCCGCCAGTTACTACCATATATAGGAAAACAATGGAAGTGGAAGCTCCAACGAGATCCATAAATGCGGTGTGCAGAAGAGTTTGCACCTCTATATTTGTACGCCTCCCAAGAGGCATCACTCACCACCATCCTTCATCCTTTATATCTCTTAACAACATATAGAGCTCGAAATACCCGAAGCGACAGTTCGAGAACCAAGATTCGGTAGGCAGTAAGGAATTTGGTAGAGAGAAATTAGTTGAAGATTAAGTCCACATATGCTTAGAGGGTGGGTGCAGAGATAAGTTGGTAAAAGTTAAACAAATGCGACAACGACAAACAGGAAAATAATCCGCTTGAGAATAGGCGAGATGATGGGCATCTTAAACAGAGAGGATGGCCAATTGTTTCAAGTAATAGATGCAGCTTTCACCAACCTTTGGCAGCTGTTTAGCGATATCTCCACCCACAAAGACAGCCTCAAGGTAGATCCACAGGTTCTGTACAGTTAACCAGTTCTCAATGATGTCAGTTGTGTTGGAAAGCTTTTGAACCCAGCTCTGAATATTCTTCTTGAATGGAGCGTTATATCTGAAACGTAGATCAACATATTATCACTTTCTCGACGAGCGAACAGGATATCACACAACTATTCTCCGAAATATTCCATGCATACCCTACCCTCGGCTGCTTAAGGGTAGCTCAAATTACAGTTGAAGTAAAGTTGGCTGCTACGTTCTCTGTCTAGAAATTTCCAAAAGTTTATTCAATTGCATGGCAACCAGCTTGTCTCTGGCGGATAGTCTGAGTTTTAGAAAGAGCGGCCAGGCCTCAGTTGTTCAAAAGTTGGACAGGGCTATCAAAACATTACTCAGTTCAATCATGGACATGGGTGAAACGTTTAGGAGAGAAATAGACAAGCGGAAGGGGAAAGGAAGCCTTAAGCTTTCACTTTAAATGCGCTGTTTTAGTGCGAAAAGAACAGTAACTTTTCCTATCAAGACATCGCATTTATAACCTCACAGAAATAAACAATTTCTGCTTTACCTGTTACTCATTAAAGAACCCAGTACCATCAGACTGTCTTCCATTAGCGTCACAATCTCCGATGTGTTGTCTCCACGTAGAAGAAGCTCTCCACGGTTCTTGAAGTTGGCGAAAGTAAGTTCACGTGTGCTCCAGTCAGCAACGACGGCCTTAAGCTTAGCCTCAATGTCTTTCTCTTTCACTGCTGCTATACAAACATCCTATGGACACACAAAGTTTTACTTCTTATCTGGCACTTTTGTTTAAAAAAGTTACAGGTGTCTTTGATTCACGATTTAAGTAAGGAAAGAAAAGGAACGAGGGTACCAAAAACAAACTAATCATTGCTTACAAATTGTGGAGGTTTTCTGACTTCTTAACCAGTACTGATCATTAACCTAGTGAACGAACCTAGCAACTTCGTGTAAACTCTTGCCAATGGAAATCAAACAGCCACTTTATCAACTTGACTACTTTTGTGGTTTCCTTTACTAATGCATCATTTTTAAGTACTCGATTCCATAATACATCTTATGTTGTTTTGAAACAACACTCTGTGCTGTTAGCGAATCCATAAAAGTACGAAACTATTTTAGGTTTTCACTTTATTGTCACAATGACAGAAGTGTGATGGTGAATTTTAAGCATGGTGAATATATGAGAAAGATTTATTCAGTCAGTGACACAGGCGGGTCGGAAGAAAGATCTGAGTTTTCCTAATAGGAGCGAAACCTATGAACCTTCTTGTTACTAGTCCAGAAGCTTTACAACTAAGGTACTGGAGACTCATGGGAGCTAAAGCCACTAAACTAGGTTCCTTAGTTTAGTGGTCTTAGTTTCCATGACTCTCCTGGGCCGGGTTGTTCAAAGCCCAGGGTTAGTGCGAAATTTGAATTCAGATATGAAAGCTTAAAAAGTAATCTGAAATTCAGTTTAATTCTTTTTGTCAACAAGTTGATGATCGGATGCTCTTAAAAATAACAGAGAAAATTATCCAAGAAAATCCTTTGAAGAAAAGAAAAAGAATCCAGGTTAGATTTAACCCTGGGTTAAGCGCTAATCGGCCTTCAAACAACTGGGCCTTGTAGCTTAGTGGTAGAGCACTTGGACTAGTAACCAGAAGGTTCATAGGTTTCGCTCCTATTAGGAAAACTCGAATCTTTCTTCCGTGCCGCCTGTGTTACTGACTGAGTAAACGTCTTTTTCAAAATTGCTGCCAACAGAATACTGTTGGAAGGATATGACTAAGGAGCACACACCTCGATGTCTTCCTTGCTTTTCAGCAATGGTGCTTCCATGATATTCCTGAGGGAAAACGTTTCTGACTCCATGTCAAATGTGTGACCAGTTAACCCTGCTATCCGGTCCCAATGTCTCTGCTTCATAGCTTTGTTCGCCATCAGTTCCAGTAGCGGGCAGCTTTCATTGAAGTCGTCGATGGTTTTCTTCAAATCCAGGAAAGCTTGCCAGTCTTTCAGAGCTCGGGGAAGCTTCCGGCAGCTGGAGAGAAAAAAAAAGAGAAAGCTTACAAATCAAGGCTATTGATGACTTCTGTAGCATAAATGAAGGACCTGATGCAAGTTAGAATCTCTCCGAGTTAGAATATACTTATTACAACTCCACCGACATCGTTAAAACATTTAAGTATAGGAGTACAACGACTACACCATGGTTATGGTTACTTTTAAGAAGGGTTTTACAACCTTTATTCTGTTACCGCTCAAAGCTTTTTTTTATTACGTGGTGCTTCTTGTAGTTTTATTGTGCCTATCTCACAATAATATGCAAAAACCCTACATTGTCCCACCCAGTTAAACACAAGTCATTCCTAGAAACACTTTTAATCCTTACCGTGACTGGAAGTCCTGCAGCTCTACGTTTATCTTTTCTATGTTGACGTCAACCCACAGTATGTCGTAATAACCATTCACAGTATCGATGACGTCATTATACAGACCGTACAGCTTCTGTAAGAGGTTGAGTTCTCGGCGAATCTGCATGAGGTCTGGATAATCGGTCACAGGGAGACCAAACAACTCCTCTCCACCAGAATATGTGATGTATTTTCGCCACAGAGCATCAAATCGATTCTGAAAGAGAAAGTGGATTAACTAGTTGCGGTAACAGAAGCAACCCTGGTTTCAGCAGTTGGACAGTTTAAATGGACTGTAGCGGAGGAAATGACATGGCAACAGAGAAGGTTTGTATGAACTAAGACCATGACTCTGAACATTCCGTACGTTTCTTTCCGTTCTTTGCAAAAGATGAAATTCCCGGTTTCGTGAAACATGTAAACAGGTCCTGATTAATTTCTCACACACAAGCTATCAAGATGACTCTAAAAATCCCTTGCATACAGGAACGACAAGCTAAACGACGTCTTCAAATTAAATGGTAGCTTCAAATAGCACGACTTCCTTTTTTCTATAATATTTATTATTACATTTAAACTCACCTGGAAAATGATCAGTCTGTCACTAGCTTCCCGCGGTGGGACGTTGGGAATCATTGGTCCACTCTAACAAAAGCAAAACAAAAGCTAACAGATTAACGCGTTTTAAAATAAAAAAAAAAAGACGAAGTAACTTGCTTATAGAAACTTTTCTACTGCTGAAGTAGGTCAGTTGGTGAAGCGCCAGCGGTCTGCAAAAGGGGAAGACAATGGGCTCAGTCCCCGGAACAAAGACATATATTCAGGGCATTGAAATGACTTAGGAGAAGTGGTTCGGATGAGTACGTAAGTATTTGATAGGCTGTACCCAGTTGGGGAACGTTAAGACGGTAAGCTAAAATAGCGCAAATGCTCTGTCACTTGTGGTTACAGGAAAGTGAACTTAAACAACCAACATACCGTATTGTAGTCAGAAGAAAACGTAGCCACATCCACAACAAACACTTGCACTTTGTCAATAAGATCTCCCTTGAAGTTGGGTTGGATCTGAATAAGTTGGTCTTGAGATTCCGTCTACAAGAAGAGAAAACCAACATCCAAGCTTAAGGTACAGAATAAATTTCCTTGAGTACAACAACATCTTCATTTTTCTTTGCCTAGAGGGGAGTACTCTTTTGAAATCTAACATCGTCTCTAAGAGGCACGGCGGCGGCGGGGTTCAGGGGGAGCTAGACGGACAGATTTGCAGATCCTAAAAAAAGCAGTGGATTAATGGGCCGAACTTTGCATTGTTTTGTTTTGTTTTGTTTTCGAAACCACAGCAAGGAGACACCCGTTGCATATTTCGTTCAAGCAATTCATACGCAAGAAAGTATTTACCGCTAGGGATTGAAGTTTCTGCCATGAGTAGCGAAGGGTGTCTACCCTCTCCGACTCTTCCTTGGCGACGACAAGCTCGTATCGATTTAACATCGCATAAGATTCCTATAAAACAAAACGGGCCAACACTATTTAATTTAAAAGGTTAATAAAATAAAAATAGTATTTGTTTTAATATGGCGTATTCCCTTCTTATACACTTAATCTGTTTGACAGCCAACGCGTTTTGAAAGCCACTCTTCCGTTTGCCGAGTGCTCTTACAATACCTCTTCCAGCCCCATTCCCAGGGTAGGTGAGAGAACCTGGGAACAAGGTTGTACCTTCCCAACTCTGTTGAGCTATGTATTACTGTATCCCTGAGCTTCTGACTTGTTTCCTGCCAAGAAGGAACGAATAACGCAAAAGCATACATCTAGAGAACGACCGAAATCAGTAATTCTTTCCTCCAGTTAGTTTAGTGCTGAGAGAAAAATTAAATAATCCATCTCAAGTGTTTTAAATGTCTTAAGAACAGAGGTACAGTAAAAAGAGCTAATGTTAAGTACAGCTGTGACTTAATCTTACAAATCTAAGAACCAAGTATACTAAAGTTTAGAACCAAGAAGTCGCTCGATGACATTTGAATGGCTGTAAAGAGGGAATGATCAGTGTGAGTATTAAACTAGAAACTGCCAACCCACCCCTCCCTTAACGCAACATTTTGTCTTAAGTGAAATTGTAGTACTAACCTTGGGTGAGGGGAGGGGTAGGTAGGTAGCGTGTTTTACTTACCTCGATGGGCCCAATAGACATATCAATCATGATCTCTTTATCTCGAATCTCCTTTAACGCACCCATTGCGTGCCGTATGTCATCAAGGTCCTTGATTGGTCGGCTAAGGCGCTTGGTGATGTCTTCAATAAGGGTGAATATTTCTTCCATTTCTGTTCGATAGCGGACATTGCAGTTTTGTCCAAACGCCACGCACCAAGCTCTAGTCTCTGCACAAAGAGCTGTTTTTAGACGTTCTGTGAAATTACAGAACAAAAACATTACGGTGAACGGACGGCCTCTCTTATAGGTGCAATAGACCTTGCCTTTCAGTTTCTAGGGGATAATTGGTATAGAAACCCACGAATCACCTTTGAGGATCGTGGTGAGGTCTGTCTCCTTTGTTAAAATTATGGGCTGATTTACAATACTACACAAACATAAGCACAGCAGTAGCCTACCAACAATATATTCCTCCTTAGCTCAACGGTTTCAGGGCACTTCTTGCGTATAAAATATCACGGACTCAAATCCCGTCGGGAAATCGAAAATAAGCATAACAGCTTCAAGAAAAAACCGAGGACACTGTTCCTGCTAACACTGAAAACTGTGTTCAATCAGGACGTAATTAGCACTAATATGTCACCGTCAAATGGCTTTGCAATCTACTACTGTTACTCTTGTACAATGATTATTTTCTTTACTTGTTTAATGAATTTGTTGCAAACAAAATAAGGCAGTGGATGAATTTCCCTGTTTTTATTTTAATGCATGGACCTGGAACGGGACTTCGAGTCCTTTCGCCATAAACAAAGCGCTTATGCTAAATAGAAAAAAATATAATAAGTATATAAAGTGATCAGTAGGTGGAGCATGATCGTCCGGGCGAGCGTAGTCCTGAATACAATGACTGACGTTTCGAAAAACTGTGCGGCAGTCATCTCCAGAGCTAAAGTGAGTTGGATCACGTCAGTTGATGGTCTTAGACTCTGGTTATTGACCTGATTTGCCAATTAAAAAGCGAGTTTTAAATTAAGTGAGTAAATAAACAAATTAAACCACACACCTGTAAACAAGGCAATGGCGCCTGCCTTGTAGGACTCTGGTTCACGCATGATAGTTTCCTCTAAAGCATTGTACTTTAATATCTGGGCCTCAAATTCAGACAGCTTAGGCTCAGTTTCCAGGAATTTGGCAATGTCTGCTTGGCGATCTTCCTTCCAGATGGGCTCGTACTTGTTAAAAAATTCCAAGGCTGTCGTCACATCTTTCTTTTGAGAATTGATAGCCGTGGAAAGAAAAGACACCAGTTTGGCGATCTCCTTATTCTCCACAACATTCTTAAAATAGTTCGCGCGCTGTGGGAAAATCGCCATGCTCACGACAGTACCTGCGTCACTGTCGGCAGGCATTCTCGTAACTCGTCGGGAAGGCGCAACGTCAGATCGGCTCTCGTCGTCGCTGCCAGCGTTACTCGCTGACCGGCTTCGGGCCTCGTTATCGGAATCATCTTTGTCTTTCTTCTCGGCTTTCATAAGCACTTTACAAGTCTTATTCCACTGAGAGACACCTTTAGACACGGATAACACATATTGTGCCGCCTTGTTTAACCCTTGTTGAATTTCATCCAAGGCAGGTTGCATAGTAATGTTGGGAATTTGCAATGTAACGTTCGCCAAGAAAAGCGGAGATAAGTCAGGTCCGCTTTCTCTTCCATGTCCTAAAGAACTTCCTTTTTCTATATAATGGTGCGCGACAGCTGCCTGTACTCGCTTCCTCATTCCATCTAACGTGGTACGAGTAACACGAACAATGGCGTCGATATTCTTATGAATAAAGTGCGTCAGTAGTTCCTGAGCTTCCATATTTAGCTGATCACGTGCCTCGCGCTTGCGTTTCGCTGCAGCAGCAGCTGGACTAATGGCGGCGCTCCCTAACCGACTGCCAGCAGAACGGCTACCAGGACGACTGCCGCCTGTCCGAGGGCGGCTGCGGGCGCTCTCACCTCTGCCTGCAAAAGCCTCTTTTTCATCATCATCGTCTTTAGGTAAATCTTCTAGTTCTTGATGATCCTCATCGCTGTTGAGTTCCTCTTCCTCTTCTTCTTCGTCTAGTTCAAGCAGCATTGTAATTAGTTCATTTGCGGCTTCTTCTACGCGTGCGCTCTTAGATTCCAGTAACTCGGAGCCTCGTTTGCAAAGTTCCTATAAGACAATTTTGAAAATGTGAACATTTGGTAAAAGGAAACAGCATCAAATGCTTAGTTCGAGTAAAAGCGAACTCCACTTGGTTTAGCCCATGAATAAGCACTCCATTTCGAATGACAAGCGTAGTGAGACGTGAGAGATCGCGCGTGCAAGCGCCTTTTTGCGTTTCCATTCGTGTGCCACTCGATACGACACGGTATCCCGAAAATAGAGGGTTTTCCCATAGTCTACGTTTATACAAAATCTTAGAAACTCGAGAAATTCCGTTTCTCAGAGGGAAACACATTTTACTTATAAAGTGCAGTTGAGAACATTTGAAAAATTATACAAAGAAGTTTGAAAAAACACTACCAAGTTGTGAAACAGACGTTGGACCGACTTGTATCAAAACCGTTTAAAGTTTGATTTCTCGTACAGTGAAACCCCGCCTTAGGCCACCTCAGTAATATGGTCACCTCGTTATTACGGCCACTTTTCTGGTTTTTTGGCCGCCTGGAAAAACCGCCATACATTTTCTTGTAAAAGTAAAGACCCTCGTTAATACGGCCACCCCGTTAATAAGGTCAAATTTTTTGGCCCGTTGGTGTGTTAACGGGGTTCTTCTGTACCTCCAATGAGATTAACCTAATTTTGTTTTAACCTAATTTGTTACTTAAAAGTTTTATTTCCTTTTTGAGCATACCTCTGTGTTCTTCAAGAATTTCTCGATGGTCCACGGAGCGTCGCTCGGCAGTTCACAAAGAGGCGTGTTACTCATCTCTTGCAGCACAGCTTCAATTCTGAACTTGACCAAGTCATTCGCGCGGTCAATCAGAAGCTCCAGCTCCTTAAATGCTTCATAAACACTGTCTAAGTATGCATCTAGACTTAGAGACGTCCAGTTCAGCATGGTAAGACCAGGTTCAACTGCTGCGTCTACTTTAGCGAGATGTGGTGACATAAGTGGTTTAAACGCAGCAGGAATTCGTCCTAGCACGCGGGTGCTCTCAGCTAGGAGAAGCTGAAAGTAGGAGAGATTAAAATAACGCAGTTACATATCTGTTTCCATCTTCTCCAAGTTTAGCCATGAAGCATTTTTATAGTAGCTAAATATTTTACTTTTCATGTTCTAGTAGTAAAAGCTGCTTAAAACTATTAGTCAACTGTAGGACGAGCCTGTGTGATTAAAAAGTAACATTTCTCCTCTTTATAACTTATTTACTACCTGGAGTCTGTTGTAGTTTCTCTTGATCGCCTGTCTTTTCTGGAGCAATGTCTGGGCACCAAATGGAATGTCCAAGCCAAGACGAACCATACATTCAGATTCCCGGATGAGTGTCAGAATCTGAGGGTCAAAGTTCACATACAGTTCTTTGGTTTCGGGATGTCGTACGAGGAGGGAGGCCTGGAGACCAGACTTCGCTACTTCCACCTGTAAAATTAAAAAAAAATAACTCGCTAATTTAACAAAGAGAAGAAACTGGACCGAGTTAGCTCTCGCAAAGACTTCTGGGATCATAAGTGGGGACGTGCTATTGAGCTATTGGCCAGTTTCTTTTCCCTGTTCCCAGTTCTCGCGAATTCATTAAACGGTCACGGATTTTTTGCGCACACACACAAGGCTAACCAATTACAGGTAATTTATCGCAAAGGGAAAAAAAGGGTCATTTGCATTACATATTTTTATTGCTACGTGCAAATAGGGATTTTTACATTGTCTACCATTCACAGTGTAGATGATGCTAAAATCTTTGGCTCTTATCGTGTCAGGGGTACGTTGTCGATTAATTGGGGCATACGGTTACTGGTTACGACAAGGTAATGAGTTAGAATCCTGTCTCAATAAAATTGTTGAATATAAATTCTTTGACTGCGTACATCACGTGACGTCGATACATGATTCCTTCAAACCAGCGCAGAAGAAAGCAAAAGTGAAACAAAAAGGGCAACCAAGAATGACGCAAACTTTCACCGAAGCTTTCTCTTTATAAAGGACAGCCAAGAAGCTATATACGGTGTAAATGGCCGATGGCGAAACTGAGACTATATGTTTTTACGGTTTATACCATACCTGTTGCATCCAAGCCTGATGATACAATACTTCAAACTCTAGCAACACCTTGGCCAGCTTGTTGTAGTTCTTAATTATTTTCTTCGCTTCAGGCGTTTGTAGAATTGTAGGATACTTCTGAAACATCTCCATTGGTTCTTGAATCCGCCGGTACATTTGCCGGGCCCAGGCTATTTTGCCAGCAATTGGCGGTAGGTCCCAGGCTACCGGCGGATCGTTTCGATGCCTTTGGTAGATCTTCTGTATTGTTTCTATGTCCCTTCCAAAGTACATCAAGATTCGCTCGTATTTTTCTTGAATTGTCTCCTTCAAGCTCTCTAAATTTAGCCTACATAAGAAATATGATAATTATGGTAAAACTTTTCATTCAAAAAGTTCCAAGCAAATGAACAAATCAGCGATCAAAGCAACTTGGTGCGAGCGCAGGAAAGTGTGTGAGCAAGTCATGAAACGTTTTTATCTCTGATTGGTTAAGAAAATAGCGCGAGATTTTTCAGCCACTCACAACCTGCATTCATCAGAAAACAGTTAAAACAGAACTCTCCTCGCAAGCGGCAGTTTTTCACGCGAGCTCGAGTATTTCCATCGGTCTAATTTCCCTAAGAAACATAAGGGACTGCTCATAGTCTGAGTTGTAAGGCCCCTTTAAACTAAGCCGGTTTATAAGGCCGTTGGTACAAACTATCACTGCCCTACCCTTGTCACTTACCGTTCAAATTTCCTCATTAATCTCAAGGCTCGTTGGGTTGAAGGAATTCGCTCAAATGAGTTGTCGATAAAAATTTGAAGTTGCACCTGTTTCAAAGGCAGAAAAAAAAAATCAAATGTGTTAGATATAGGGAAATACTGCATAGAAATACCGCAGCTCTTGCACAAAATGGTCAGTATCGCGGGATGAATCTGTATACGAGAAATCAATAAAAAACAAATAATACTCATTGTCTGTTAACTAAAATGTCTTCATTATGTGCTACAAAACTGACATCAGAAACATCATAAGAGCTTCAATTGTAAATGGGATAAAAGACTTACTTGCAAATCGTTGATTTGACGTTTGAACTCCTCGAAATCTGCATCAAAGTCCATTTTTCGATAATCAAGTAAGTCGTAAGGTTTCTTCCTCATCGTAGTGACAATAAGGACAAATTTATTCCAAAGCTGTTCCATGCCTTCAATCCGTGATTCTCCAAGACAAGAAAACGCTTTCATTGTATCCAACATTTCAATGATCTTATGCAACCGCCGAGCGAACGTGTTGATCTTCCCAAAAATATACATTTCACTAAATTCGAATTGTCGCTCGTCCGGATTTTCCTCGAGACGTTGTTTGGTTTTCTGGAAACACCTCTGGTATTCCTCGTTTAATCGGATGCAATTCTTTAATTTTGCGACGAGTTCTTCCTGTTGATAATCCCAAACTGTTTTGTACCCATGCTCCGTAATGTAGCTCTTGCACGCAGTTATCATTTGATTGGTAACCTGAAAACAAAGCAAGTTTGATAAAGAGCTTTTAATTGAATGGTCACCTGACGATAGAATTTTGACTAGAAAATCAGCAGCCTGAGAAGACAGCTGACATGCGCTTGTTTCCCTTCGAAATGACGTCTGAGAAACAAGAGTAGGCATTCCATACTGATGACGTGTCACTAATCAGATCTGGGAAGTGCTTCTAATTGGTTGTGCCGCGAGGGAAATTTGTTTCAACCAACCAGTGTCGGGTGTTTTCTCAGGCAATGATATCGAAGGTTACATCAACACATAACGTCTCCAAAATTGACACTGGATACAAAATGGCAAAATCTACCGACCTTGACAAAAAGAGCAGTCATCCTTTCAGATGTGTTGTAATATCTGGAGTAACTGTTGATCATGCGAATGGCATTAATGAGTCCTGGTATACCATCGATCATGCCAATCTGAAAATATAGAACACGCGCATGGTAAAATGTGGCGGAGTCTGGGTACGAGCGAGCAGATTTTAAGCAAAAGTGAAACTGCGACCAAAACGTTACAAAAAGCATCTAAAGTACTGCCGAGGCATCACACAGTTTCTCTTTAATAATTAGTTTATTCTTTATTACCTTGGTTCAACTTTCAACTTTCAACTTTATTCATTCAATCTCAATTTACAATTTCACGATAGCTTCCACCGCGTATAGGAGAGCCTAATCGAGGAAGAGACATCACCTTCCAACAGTTTAAGCAGCTTTCGTAGAGGGTAACTGCTGAGATCAATACTGGGATATGAGATAATTGGTATACCGTGCATGTAATTATGGAACTCACCGGGTCACTGTTGTAGAGAGGGTCACAGAATTTCTCCAATGTATACAGGAATTTGACGTTGTCTTTAGCTTCATTGGCGTAATCGGTTATTCTGCTGTCAATATCTCGCCAAGTCTGAAAGTGCGAAACAATAGTTAAGAATATTCAGTGCGGACTATTCGCATATATGTACACTGTATATGCAGTAAGTCTTGCAATCATAAGTTGAAACCCAGTCTGTGTGCCACTTTGTTTAACATCTCCTTGATTGAACTGTACATTGTACGTGTGTAAAAGCTGCGATTAGCCTGGATGTGCATGTTGTTAGTTTTTGCGTTTTATCCTACAATGGGACTAGCGAACGCGCCAAGAAACAGACGGTACAACAAACCTTGAGGAGTTTGGACTTGGCAGCATGAAGCACACCAACCACTGCTTTGCATTCAGGACCTTTAATCTGATCCAACAACGAGTTGAACTTCGCCATTCTTTTTTTCCAGTGATCAAGCTCTGCTTTAGGGCCGACATCATCAGCTTCCTTCCTCATTTGCTCACTCTCTGCCAAAACCTGATACAAATAGCAAATAATTTCAGCACAACCATATAACTCAAACGCCATGTGCACGAGATTTTCAGGCCACCCCCACCCCCACCCCTCCAAGGGACTATCACTACATCCCTCCTAGTAAACCCAAAGGTCATGAAAATTTGCCACTTCATAGACTAGGGGGAGGATTAGTACAACGCATTCAAAGCAATGATTTCTGTGATTGTTTGGTGGATACTTCTGATCGGTGGAGTGTTTTCAAAAGTAACCATTAAATAAATTAATCATTGATTACAATATCCATCCAGACAGCCCCAGAAAAGCTGGCAACCATCTTCCCTGAAGTTTATGGAGTAGTACCCTGGGTGCCAGAGATTTTTTTTTTTTTTACAGTTTACTTATGTTCATCATAGATTTTTTGAGAATGGACCTCGAGGGTAATGGAGTAGCAAATTGCTTCTTCTTTATAATAATATTATAATTTCCTTTTTTTCTTCATCTTCCCTTTGTTTGATAACAAAGACAGATACTGTCACATGTTTTGAGTACGCGGATGGAATCATACAGAATCTCTCAGTAGCCTAAAAGTATTTTTGAATGGCATTCTTTGAATACTTCGAAGACGAAATTTGATTATTTTTTCGATATCCTTATTTTCCTACCCTTGATTTTCAATATCCTTGAATTTTTTTACCCTTACTACTGAAGGATTATAACTATTTGGGTGAACATTTTCTGCACATGTATGTACCTGTTCTATTTGTCTGACCCATGAAGTGACAACCTCTTCAATCTGCTCAAGTGTTTCAGAGGAGCTGGCAGCTGCTATATAATCATTAGGAGAACTGATCCTTGTCAGATCAATAGTATCACATTCCTTTAGCATCACAGCATCATCTAAACTGGCCTGCGCACTACTTAGTATACCTAGGAATTCAAATTCAAGACATTTCTAATTCAAAAGGTGTTCTTCCGCTCCTGATAACAATACTCCTGTTCTCAAAAAACAACATTTTAAATTCCAATTCGACCAGAAATGGTTGACAAAGAACCACTATGTGGAAATGCTACCTCTAAGTAATTACCATTATTATTATTATTATTATTATTAGGTATTATTGTTATCATTATAATTGTTGTTATCATTGTTGTTGTCATTATCTTTGTCGTTATCGTTATCACTATCGCTACCGTTATCATTGTCATTATCATCATCATCATCATCATCATCATCATCATAGCTGTCATGAAGGGCTGGGGACTGGGGACCAGGGATATCCCCCAGCTACGAGGAAGGTGATCCCTGGGAAATCCCTAGCTGTTTAATTCCCCACAAACTTGCTGTCAGTATTTACCTGGCAATTTGAAATCTTAGTGACATTCCTGATAATCATTAAAAACCTTGAAGTAAAGTTTTACATTAATTTTGATCTGTAGAATTCATACACTTACCTACAAAATTTTCCAGTTGATTCATAAAGCCATGCCTGACACTTGCACCATGCCTGTCTGATAACTCTCCCCAGTTTGAGCTCTTAGAAAGGGCTGGAATGTAAATATCCCCAAGAAGTCTTTCTACAGAATGAAGGATTCCGACACCACGGGTGTCAAGCAAGCTAAAAGTCGTCTCCTGCAATAAAACAACAATATTCTTACCTTAATACCATGGGCATGTATGTTGTTATTTTCAATAGGACATTTTGCTTGCCTGCAGTAACAATCAGATACGTTTGTTAGAGGTTGAAAAAAATTGGTCCATTAGTGTTCTTAGCTTATATGAAACCATGCTGGGTTTAAAAACTTCTATTCCCCAAAATACTCTTCAACAATAATGTGCAACTTTAATCTTACATTTTTGAATACAAAGAGCCAGATATCTACATTTCAAGCTGTGTGGCAGTATTTCTAGAGTACTATAACTTGGTTGGATTCTACTTCCATAAATTTATTAACAGTACACTGGAGCATTACTGATCAAAATACAACGACAGTGTGTAGAGGTAATATTACCTGACAGATGTTAGCTAATGTTAGGGCTTTAGAAGGATTTATCTTGATAAAGAATACACATGCTCCAGACAGCTGCATGTCTCTTGTGTCAGTAATAAAAACTTTAGGTCTTGGTTTGATGGTGGCTGATTGAACTCCTCCAGGTCCCAGTCGGACATGTTCCACTGAAAAATAACACATAATTAAATTTAAAGCAGCACGCAAAAGCCAAAGACAGGGCTCGAAATTGCGACCGATACGGTCGCATTTGCGACTTAATTTTTCTTATTTGCGACTAGAAAAACGAGAGTAGTCGCAAATTTGCGACTAGGTTTTGCCTTAACTGATACGAAATAAAAGGACTAGCACTTGAATTTTTGCTTAAATAAATTTAGAAATAAAAAGATTCATTGAAGTAGCGTCTTACAATTTTGTTACAATTTGAAGGTTTACTGTAATTTACCTGGAATGCATACACGCAACGATATTCCACGCCATTTTCAGCGGGTTCTGTAAACATGTACATTGCAGGCTCATATTTCGTTTTGATTTGCTGCTGACAGTCCCGCCAGCATGCTGAGTACTTTTCCCGCGTTTATGACCCGCGTTACGGCCCTCACAGTACACATGTGTTCTTCTTTAGTGAGTCAATTATGTTGGATGAAAGCGACTTAAATTGTTTCAAAGGTCACATTTTAAACGAAGAAATCGACCGAGCGGTTTTAGTTTTTAAAAAAAAGATTTACATGTAAAATAAATCGGTTCCAAGTGGGTTGCGAATCTACGTATACATGAAAACGAGGTTTAGCAAACAAAGATGGGGGAATGTCCGCATGGCACGTATCGTCGTATTGAATGATTCAGTCCTTCAGGGTTCTTTGAATAATCACTGTAGTAACACCCCTGATACTTCAGATGTAAAGCTTAATATATAAAAGAATTCTTTACTTGTTTTGTCATCGGTGGAAAACCTGCAAAAGGTAAAACTAAAGGAATTTAGTTACGTAACGTAACCTATAACCATGTCGGATGTCCGCCCAGTACAAATGTTACTGCTATTTTGCAGAGATTGGAGGCATTTAAGAACTGCAGTTTCCTGCTGTAATATCTGTTGACGATTTGGAAATCTATCGCTTTGACTAAAATAACAGACACTAATTTATGTGCCTTAACGCAGGTTCAACTTGATCGTTTGGATGAACTGGTGTTGTCCGAGACGCTAAACGTTCTCTACTATTAAGTCTCGAAATGACATGAAAGCTGTTGAAAGAATGAAAATTAAAGCGTTAATCATTTAAAAACCTACTTATTTCTTGATTAAATGGCCTCAATTAATTTCGCGACTAACATTTTCAAAGTTGCGACCAAATTTTCGTAACTAGTCGCAAATTTGCGACCAGACATTTTTTTTAATTTCGAGCCCTGAAAGAGAGTCAAAAAAATTGATTATTGTTGACTGAAGATACATGAACATGTGATAAACAAGTTAGCAAAGTACCTGCATCTGGAATGTTGTCAACTTCTTGAAAGTAAAATATTATCCTTGAAAGACCATCTGCCTTTAAAAAGTCCTCCATAGTTTCAATCTATAAAAACAAAAACAATTTCAAAACTCAATTTAAATTTTTACAATCCTGATACTGGGATAATAGGGCTCCACTTACTTTAACTGGATAATATTATTTTTCACATTGACAGGGTGAGAACATGGAAGATTTACCAACATTATGATGATTTATACTACATGATTTTTGCCTGCAGCAAAGTTGTGTTCTATACATGTAAATACCAGCATGGCAGGCATTCGAAAAGAAAGGGAAAGGGAATTTGGGCGTGAAACCATGCGCGAAGGAGAAGGGGAACACCTGCACCCATCCCTCATTCCTCACATGCCCTCACACTTCTCTCCGCCCAAGAATCCCCTTTTTCTTCCCCTTCAAATGCCTGCCATACAGGCCTGCATAACATGTAAATGACAGCCTATATAAAGATAATTATTTAATATTTTTAAAATATAATTCATCTGCAGGGCTGTAACTTAATATATCTGGCAAGGCAGACAAGAGCTACAGTCTATTAAAGGCTAGTAATACAGACCTGTGAGCCTTCAAGTAAAGACTCTGTAACTTCCTCATTTGTCAGTCCAAGAGTGGTGGCAACTGTACTGATCAAATATTCATGTCGGAAATCTATCATAGCCCTCTTTGCCTCACGTTCTTCTCTGGCTTTTTGCTGAAAGGAAAAATGAAAGAAAGAAGAATGTACACTCTCTCTTAACAGACACCTGAGTTTGCTGTTTACAATACCTCTCTAAGAGATCTACAGTTGGTCGCTATTGTCATGCTTCACTCATTGTCTAAGAAGGGCACTTAATAGTATTGATGATCCCGATGAACCACCGTGACATCCATCAGAAGTAGGAAAGTTGTCTGCAATGATCGTTATTGATATACATCCATTTCAACATTCTCATTAGAACATGTCACAAGATCAGCCATGCACCCTGTGATTAAGCAATTACTCATGAATACTACTAAACCTGTCTTGATCAGAGGAAATTCCACCATCCACCCTTATGTCCACTAATTATCCACCTCTCTCTACATGTACATCCACCCCCTAACCCCACTTTCTATCCCCCTTTCTTTGCAAAGATTTTTCTCCAGTCACTAAAATGTCCATGAGTTGCTAACAAATTGCCTAACGCCCCTAACGATTTTCATTGAATCATCTAACAGATGACTAACGGACAGCTAACGGTCTAACACAAAATATCGTTAGAGTGCGTTTTCCCAAAGAAGGTATAAGCATGCATAGCATACACCGCATTCCATTATGACATTGTTTTGCCCCATCCTCAATGTCTGATGTTATTGGAGATGATCAGGCTTGTAACTGGCTGATAGGAACACTTGCAAATTATATGATTTTTTAAATACAAATACTCAACTTAAAACAGCTGACTCAACACCTTGATCAGTTTACATCAAAATTCAAGTCAAGGATTAAACAGTGCAAGGGGGAGCTTAATATCACATTTTCTATAGTCTGAAGCACCATTACTTCTGGACAGAAATATGCTATTTGCACCTGATCACACTCCCACCCCTAAACCTGCCTATAATGCATGATGTACGGGCTTATCTCAGGGTTACTCAAACCATCACTTAGGCAGATCGTATCCAAACACATGGAAATTGAGTTATAAAATCTCTGTGTGTCCATAAAAGCACATTGGAATGATGGATGTGAGACGAGTTGCCCTCAGCACCTCATCCCGAACATAAAATATTGCTATAATCGATGATTGATCGTCAAATTATGAAATTATCAAACAACACTGACACCAGAATACTAAGTAATGTTTAATCTGTGAAAGGTTTGAACCCAGGAGTCATAATGTTTAATCTGCTGCCAAAATAATAAGCTCACCAGAAAGCCACAAGAAATGTTGAATAGTACACGACCTTAAGGGTTTGGGTTCAAATTAAAATCGTGTCATTTTGCAGCCATAAAGTTCGAATATGATTTTACAAGTCCAGAGATCGAAATTGAATGATTTGAAACAATCATAAAGCAAGTTTGGCACTATGAACATAAATGTGGCGATGTACGACTAGTAAAATCTTCTACTCTAAACTGTACGAGAGCCGATCTTAATTATTTGATCGATCCAGCTGACGATCGAACTAGAAGTCGAACGTGCCTGGCAGGATCGTATCGAGGTCTCAGAAATACAAAATAAAACACAATCTTTAGCTATGTAAACAAGAAATAAGAGCAAAAAAGGATAAAAAAAAAAACAGTAAAACAGTAAAACATTCCTGTAGCACCAAGGCTGTAGCGTGACAAAATTTCTACCTCAAGAAGTCATAGCACTTTTGGCGCGCTACGTCTAAAAACAAACCTGTTTTTCTTTAATCGATTCTCCCGGGCCCAGAGTCTGTAATCGTGATGCCTTTTTTTGTTCCCTTTCAGCAGTGGAAGGTTTTTGTTGCTTGCGAGAGCGATGTCTTCCTCCGCGACTATGATGTGCAGGATTAGTGCCAGATGAATGCTGGTCCGCCATAATGATTGTAGACAATCGTTGTACAGTCCAAGAACCCTCTTTTATTTAACTCGTCCTAATCATAATAGACGTCGTAAAAATATCGTTTCTGGCCTTTGGGACCTAAACTCACTTACAAGCTGACCAAAAGAGTTGACCCTCTTTTGTTTTGAGTCTGTTTAGTCATTTTACAGTTCACTTCTCCGCCAGAGTTATAATTTCCATGGAAGCGGCTTTTGACTCTCATAAACAAAATAAAACATGCATGAAAGAATACCGCGATTTGATTGGCTGAAAAAGTGATTAGCTCTTGAGTACGAAAGGCTGAAATAATAGTGTCTGTGCGGTCACATGACTATGACGTAGGTGAAAAGTTGGTTCCGCCATATTGGAGGAGTGAAATCTGTTACGCGACTCCTCGCGTCTTGTAGCGATGCCTTCGTTTTGTCTAATCGTTGGATGTTCCAACGATAAAAAGAGACGTCCAGACCTTAGTTTTTGTAGGGTGCCTAAAGTTATTACTAGTCAAGGCGAGCAGACGGAAATTTTGTCGAATGAACGGCGAACTAGATGGTTAGCGGCCATAAGTCGTGATGACTTGACAGAAAGCAAGCTTGAGAACGACCGTGTTTGTGGAATTCATTTTCACTCTGGAAAAGCAGCTTCCCTCTGGGATGAATTCAATCTAGACTGGGTGCCTAGCTTGCATTTGGGCCACAGCAAGTTAAAGAGTTCAGACCAACAAGAGAAACAACAGGAAAGAGCCCAGAGAGTAAGAGAAAGACGTAAACGCGAGAGGGAGCGTGAAGAACAGGTTCAGGCTGTGAAAGAAAAAAAGGCAAGGGAAGATGAATCAGAAGCCCATGGCGATAGAATCAGGGATATTTCTTTCGCGGTTCAAGATGAAGAAGATTTGGCAGAGGTTCCAGAGGAGGAGGAAGAGGGGAACAACATGGCCACGCAAACTGAGCCAAGCGAACTCACGCAATCACGGTCAACGCAAACCGAGCAGTGTGATTACATGTTTCGAACGCCTAAACCTTGGATGCCAGAAAAATCCACCATATTTGAACAGGAATTTTTTGAGGGAGATGACGGTAAAGTTCGCTTTTACACTGGATTACCATCGTGGGAAGTTTTAATGAAAACATTCTCCTTTGTATCTCCACATGTCAACAGACGCTCCCTGTCATTGAGTAAATTTCAGGAGTTTGTTCTGGTGTTGATAAAACTACGACTGGCCGTCCCACACCAAGATCTTGCTTATCGTTTTGATGTTTCTAGAACTGTTGTTTCTCGCATTATTGTTACCTGGTTAACTGTCATGGATGTTCGTTTATCTCCTTTAATTTCCTGGCCAAGTCGGGAACAGCTTCAGAGAACAATGCCGAAATGTTTCATTGACTCTTTTGGTCTAAAGACAAGTGTGATCATTGACTGTTTCGAGATATTTATTGATAGGCCATCCAATCTTTTAGCAAGAGCACAGACCTTTTCGAACTACAAACACCATAACACTGCGAAAGTGTTGATTGGGATAACACCACAAGGAACAATATCATTTGTTAGTGAGGCCTGGGGGGGGCGCACATCAGACAAATTTCTTACAGAGAACTGTGGCTTTTTAAAAAATTTACTTCCTGGGGATCTTGTCCTTGCAGACAGAGGTTTCACTGTCCACGAGCAGGTGTGGTTTCACCAGGCAGAACTGAACGTCCCTGCATTTACCAGGGGCAAACAACAGCTGGATCCAGTTGATGTAGAAAAGACACGTAAAATCGCCAATGTCAGAATTCATGTGGAGAGAGTTATTGGAATTCTGAGACAAAAGTACACAATCTTACAAAGTACTCTGTCAACTGACTACTTAGCATGTGAGGACAAGAGCAAAGCCCCACTGATTGACAAGATAATTCGAGTTTGTGCTGCCCTTGTTAACCTCTGTCCTCCTATTGTGAGTTTTGATTGATTTCTTTAATGGGTAATAACTCGTCAAGTTGTCCGAATTAGCCATACATCTTGCCTGAGCCCCAGTCCATTTACGGTACACCTAAATACATAGCCAAGAAAGGTAGCAAGCTTGTTAAAAGTGTGGTTGTCAAATCCTTCAAGACCTGCGGTATTTCCAATGCCTTGGACAGAACAGAGGACAACATGGTCTACGCTGAGGAAACCCCAGAAGTAGACGATGAAGACATAGAAGAGAACGAGTTCGTGACAGACAGCGAAAACGAAACGGATGGCGAGTAAACTATTGGGTTGAGAGCCCTTGCACATATCCGTCAAACGGCTCCTTTAGGAGCCACCAATTTCATAAAAGTGAATAACCAATATTCAGAAGTTATTTTTGTTGTGTTTTATTACTTCTGCTTCATTGCTAACTTGACTACAAGCCGGGGGTAAAGTTATTCAGCAACTGTATATTTTTAAAATGTAAAACCTCGGCTACAAGCGAACCCGTTCTCGTGAAAAATCTCCCAAAATTTTGGGTCGAAAACTGAAAAAATCGCTCGGCTTATAGGTGAAGAAATACAGTAGTTGTTGTTACTTAAGCCTGAAAAGTAATATGCATGAAAAGAGGGTGATTAAAAACACTGCAGCTCTATGGGGAGTCAGCTGCAAATCCATTCAAGCAAGATGAGTTTCAGGGCCCGGTTGTTCGAACGCCAGTTAGCACTAACCCCGGGTTAAATTCTAACCCCGGTTCCTTTTTCTTTTGTTCAAAAGGATTTTCTCAGATAATTTTCTCTGTTATTTTCAAGAGTATCCAATCATCAACTTGTTGACAAAAAGAATTAAACTGAATTTACTTTTTAAGCTTTAATGTCTGCGTTCAAATTTCGCACTAACCCTGGGTTATCTTAACGCAGCTTCGAACAACCCGGCCCAGGTGACCAACCTTGACTATAAACTCACGACTTAATGGTTGAAAAAAATAAGGATTATTGAGAAAATGTAAACATTTCTTACATGGTAGTGATTCACCCTTGTCACAAGCTTCAGCAGGTTCACAAACATTTTTTTATTCAAATAAGTTTTGATCAGTATGGTAAAACATTTGGTTAAAAAAAAATTATGCAGTTGGCCCAGGAATTAATTAAGTAATATTAATTAATAGCAATTGAAGTCAAGCTTACTAAAACAAAAAAATTGTTTTGGTTTCTAAGAGCAGTGCTTGTGGGATTGAGAATCTAGTACCCAGTGCAGCACTTATTTGGGTTCTAGTGCTTAGTTGAAAGAGTTTGACAGTGTATTTCAATTTAGTAAAATCCAGCTAGTGGTCGATTATCAATGCTACGTTCTGATTGGTTGAGCTACTACTAGGCTATATGTTACAGCCCACTAGTAGCGAAGAGTGTCGGCTTTGAAAACCAAAACTATGTTTTTGCTAGCTAAAGTTGTTTTGTCTTGATATTTTTTACCAACAAGTTGGTGTCTGCTATAGAGACGTTTTGACCATGTATTTGGTTTTTTTATATGTTAGCTTTCCTTTGTAAATAGTTTTTTATTGTATAATTTTAATAATGCAGCTTTCTTTCATACAAATATATATATATTGCAAGGTTCATATTAGCCTCCCACACAGATACTTGACACTGTTTCGATCAAATTTTCTGATCCTGTAGAAAATATGGTGAGCCTTAGTAGTAAATGATATTTTTATCCATGGATAAGGGTAATAAAATTGATCAACTATAAAAATATTATTGAATGGATAGTGTGATCCTCCTTTAATATCTAACACTGGGTGGAGAGGCAGTAAAATAATTACAACAATATTTCTAGCTCTTTGGCATTATGCCTCAAGTGCCTCCTGATGAACTGCTAGATTCTCCTTCCAATTTGTCTTGTTTATGCTCAATTATCAAAGGGAGAATTTAGTACATGTAGTAATATCAGGAGTCATTTGTAACTGGGGCCTTATTCCACACATCCCTTTAGTACAGAATGAAAAAATGCCTCTCAAGATAACTGGGTCCTTTCATTCTACCTTAAAATTAGTTCTCTACTGGGATTTAATCTTTACGGGTACTACCTGGCAATCACTGTCCCTCATCTATGGGATTTTTCCCAATAAACAAGTACAAGATGTGGCAATGGTCACTTACAGCGTATCATAACAACAAGGGTATTTACATAATTTTATATAACTGTGTGCAATGAAGAATGTAACCTTTTAAGCCCCATATCAAGTTCTGCCATACAGTGCATTTCTTATGGTACTGTTCAGTTAAACATTGACACATTTTATCTTAGATGGTCCTTTTATTCATTCTCCTGACCTGTACGTTTCATTAGGCAGTGATAATGTAAGGTCAGGAGAACTTATTTGCTACGCGCTGTTAGGGCTTGAAAGGTTACCAGTTGGGAAAATGTCCATTATTAAAGATCAACGGTCGGAAAAAGTTCCATTCTACTGGACCTCAAACATCTTGAAAGGTGAGGACGCATCTTCGGGATATCAAATTGAATACTCAAGGGGTCTTGCATAAAAACAAGGCTCGTAGCAAATGCTATAGCAAATATCCCACAGTCAGATCCATTTAGTTGCTGCTGAATAGGGACAACATTAATTCCCCTGAAGTCCTGTCCGAGTAGACTTCTTGCCTGTTCCTCAATGTCGTCACAGACAACATCATGAAAAAAACTGTCATATAAATTAACATGGCCACTGGAGCAACCAATGGAACTTAAACATACCCAGTGGTTACCTCCAGTGTTCAAAATCTGTATGAATTCACCACTGATAATGTCAAAGGCTCTTATTGGACCAAGTGTTGGCCTTTGAAATCCTTCAATGTTCGGATTTAACTGTTTGAGGTAGATTTGTGCCTGGTGGATTATAGAACAGTCTAACCAGCCATGTGTATCCTCTATCAATGCAAATTCTCTTTCAGTCAGATTCCCTAGTGAACCCGTCTTATTAACATTTGTATTGACAGTTTCTTTGACAAACAAAACATCTGGGTCAGGATTTGGGGATGATTCTCCTTCCACATCACTATCCTGTGGGGTGTTTGCACCGATGTTGATTGGTGTTGCAGGTGAATCTGCCTTCAAATCATTATCACTTTGGGAGCTTGAATCATTAATAATAGGGGCTGACATTACACTATCGGGTGTTCCAGCTGGTTCTCCTACCAAATCAGAATTCCCTTGAGCTGGTGTTGATGGTCTACTTTTAGGTGCTGTAATCTTGCAGTTATAGCAAAGCCATGTTGTTCTTGCATTGCTTGGATAACGTTTGTAAGACATGCATGACAGATGAAAAAATTTACCATTTGAGCACTGTTCATTATGACATTTCAGCAGTTTATCATTTGTCTGTGCTTTTTTTTGACATGTGCAGATAGTTGCAAGTTTTGTTGCCTCACTTAGGAATTGATCCTTCATTTCAGGCAATTTCTTGCTTTTTGCCCTAGTAAATTGGGGCAACTTTCTACAATGAGGGCAGTACCACATTTTTGGAACTGTTACATTCTTGATACCCAAACAGGATGGATGAAATTTGGATATTTTGCATGTGTGGTTGGCACATGTTATTGGTGCTTCACTAGTTGTTTCCCTGCAGTAACAGTCACCAGGTTTTGTGACTTCTTCTGGGGAAAGCTGGGCTTTTAAATCCATCTTTCGGGTATACCATCTTCCCAATATTTCTGGTAATATGCAAATTCTCCAGAAAGTCTCTAGTTTGGGAATTTGTGTTTCCCAGTGTTTCATGTCTGGAGCAAGCCTTTCCAAGAAAAATTTCGATGTTTGCCCATCTGAGGCGAACACAATAAAATCTAAATATCCTCTCCCACTTGTATGGATTTGTTGTTGTGCTTGGTAATAATAGTCATGATCTCTTTTGAGTTGGAAACAAGATTCATTTTTCTGCAAACAGGAAGATTTCTTTTGCACATAACTGTCAAAGTCAACTCCATCAATGCAGTAGGGGCACTTGACTTCCCCACATCCCTGTCCACAGCAATCACATTCACAGAGAAAATCTGGAGTAGCATGTAAAAATTGGTACTTCTTGTTTATAATTGTTCCACATTTAGTTATAACAAAGTTAGCATGAGTTTTTCGCATTGTTTTTTCATACTCTGCTATGGCAATATCCTCATGTTTGCATCCATATCTTGTGGCTGCCGTGGAAAAGCGAAAAATATCTGGATAACAAATAGCTTTGACCAGAGACTGGGAGGGCTGTGAAGGATCTGTATGACTGGCTGCACGGCATTTGGAAGCCCCTACTCTTCCAGCCCTGTGTCTAAAAAAAGCACTCCCTTTGGCCTGATCCACGGTTTCCCTTTCGATTGACTTAATATCTTCATCAGATAGGTTCAATTGTACTTTATTACACTCCTTTAGAAGATCAGTATATGAAAGATCTAGATACTTGGGATCAAACAAGTCTGTCACCGCCTTAATGTTTCTAGTACTTGAAATAAATGAATCAGCAAATGGGTGAATTAAACTTAAACATACTGGTTTAATTTTGCATTCACTCAAAGAGTGATAAAAAGCATCCATTTCTTCAGCAGAAGGTTCTAGAGATGATGACATTTTCACTTCTGGACGTTTAGGTGTGGAGGTGTGAGATGGTGGACTTGAATCAACAACAGGGAAAGCAACCGTTTCAATGGACTTATCGAGGTCGGCTTTTAGTTTCTTTGCAGAAGAAAAATTAATTTCTTTGATCCTTGCGTAGTCAACTTGCTTAACTGTGGTAGGCAACAGCCACGTACATTTTACTTGGGTGCAGGCAAGCTTCCCATTTAATCTCGTCCACACTTCAATATAAAAAAGTACACTTGCGATATGAGAACAGCATTCTCCCAGCCCGGCCATACACCCAGCACAGTGAGCTGAAAGAACAGTTCCTTCTTTGGTTGATATTATCCACAATGGCACGTGCGGATCATTCATACGTTGGGAATGTCTCACTTTTGCGAGAACCACGTATTTATCTCGCAATGTTTGTCCAAGAACACTTGTAATAAAGCCGGACACCATATGGTTGTACGCAAGGAGACTTCTGAAATTTTTAAACTGCTCCGGCCCTTTGTATAAAAACTCGTATCGAGCACTAGATATGACAGAAGATCGCACGACTCGACTGGAGGAAGACATTCCGGAGTACAGTTTTCTTGCGGAATAAGGAAAGGGTCGATACCAATGGCCGCTATTTTCTCCACATATCTTCTCCTTATGTTGCCCTGTAATGACTCGCCATAGGCAGACAGAATAAACTTGGAATTTGTCTCGCTCTCAGAAGGACACGCTTCAGTTGCCGCCATTATAAATAGAACATTACTCCTCCAAGATGGCGGCGCCTCGTTTTCGGAATTTTTGTGACGTCACGCGAACAGACACTATAGTGAGGAACAAAAAACTGAAATTTCCTTGAAAATCAACGTCAATATGTCGAATCAGAAGGACAAAATCGAAACTCAAAAAAAGTAACTAAAAAAATAACGAGACATTTGACTTTAAAATGTTTTAATTTTTTTAAAATGTGTATGAAGGGCTTATATTAAATTTCCGGCAAAAAAGGTACCTTCTGAGGTATCAGGTACCTTTTTCCACCGTTTAATGCATCAGTCAATTCCACCTGCGCCCAGCCCCCCTCCGGGCTACTGCGGGGCATTTGCCCGCCTTGTCAGTCCCGGGGATGGGGCATTTGCAAATTTTGCACTGCCCGGGGGCCGGGCATTTGCCAACCCCCGGGCCATTCCCGAGCTTTTGACACGCACGCGGTTTCCTATCAGAATATAGCCACACCGAAGGTTTTACTGGAAAAAAAGAAGATTGGCTCATCTGTCAAGGAGTAGAGGGTTGTAAAGGCATGTTCTCGATTTTACATGTATGTATGCATTTCCAGTCATTGCTTATCAAGCCAGAATTACATAGCGAAATTGGAGCTATCGATGTGAATCAACGTTTTCTGGTTATTGAATCAAATTTCTGTTGATATTATTTGAAGAACACCCTTTCATGTTTATAAATCTAATCATAACATATAACTTTACAGCGCTCTATTAATTTTAATGTCAATAATTTTATATCAAATTATTATTGATACTAAAAGCATAAACCGGTGCATGTCGTCGCGGCGTGAAGTCTTAATTAGAATCCTAGCGCTATTACAAAGGAAGACGTTAACTGAAACAAAAAATCGCACTTTAAAATGGCACTATTAGACTGTGCGATCAATAAAAAATGTTGCACTGTTGACGGAGGACGGGACATTCGCCCTCTTTTTTCTTCCCCACCCCGGGGGATTTGCCAGCCCGAGTCCCCCCCCCCGGGAATTTGCCATCCAAGCCAAAAAAATACTAATTCCCGGGGGGCAGCCCGGGGGGGGGGGGGGGCTGGGCGCAGGTGGAATTGACTGATGCATTACCGAAAAGAAACGAGCAACATTCTTAGACCATTTGTTTAGGCTTCCAAACAAAAGGAAGTAAAAAAATTAGTGATATATCATTAAAGGAAGAACTCCCTTTTTTCTTTGTTTTCTTTTCCTGTTCGAAAAAAAAGACAGTTACAGTCTCCAAAAATTTCCACGAAAATTTTGAAGAAATGGCATAATTTTCCTAGATTGAGATTTTATCAAGAAGAAAATATTAAGAGTTGAAGATCAGCACAAAGTCTTTCTTCTTGGATCGGCTGAAAGGCCAAAAAGACCTAAAGAGAACTTTTAAAAAAAAATTACCCCAACAACTGATCATGAAAGTGTTCGACACTTTTCGTAAGTGACAGTGTATTGCGTGAAGTCAGAAACCGGAAACAAAAATAGAATGATTCCGTCGGGGAGTAACCTGCTCGAATCTGCATAAAACAGCCACACTTGTACATTACACTTTTAAAAGTTCTACTAAATGGACCGCAGCCTTATTAAAAGTCAAAGAATAGCCTGCTACAGGCGTTCAGTTCGTGGGGACGACGCAAAAAGATGTGACCGGAAAAAAACAGCAACGGGGTAGGGTAGGGGGTGCTCTCTTACTTCGCGCCGGCTCCGCTATCCGAACTCCTGGAACAGGCTAGTCGAAGAACTATGGATTTCTTTAAAACACTGTCTACCATTTGTCCGAAGGGATAGACTAAGGCTTAAACCCTCGATGGATTTTATCTTCTCTTTTTTTTTCCAGTTCAATACTTGAACTACTGTACGTTTAGTTGGATCACAATCTTGGTCGCCCGCTAACAATCAGTGTCCTCTTACGGCCAGGGGAGGTTTAAAATGCAGGGTTTGAAGGGGAAATATTAAAACTTCCATCAAGCCAAACTGAAGCCTTAAGTATCACAATTGTACCACTTTTTCGATCGTCATTAACTATTGGACAAGCGCCAACCCCCTCCTCCTCTCCCCCCCCGAAAACTCACTAATATCATGTGCTCCGTTCCACATGTGGCAGACACCTTAGCGCCCGGTTTGGCCTCCTCAGCGACCGACGGACTCACAGAACGTAACCAACAACGCCAAAGAAGAAGTTATGGTCATCACTGGACGAGCAAAGTTTTCTCACAAAAATATAAAATTTTACAAGCACCTACAGTATGACTGAGAACTGGCAACTATATCAAATGGAGATTATTTTACTACAATATTCCAAATTCTCTAAAGATGATTACACAGATTTACACAAATCATGAACATCATAATTAATACTAAAACATGATAACATCATAGCCGCCAAAAGCTTTTTCTTTGCTCTGATTAATGCTGAGAGTACAGTTAAATTTTCTTAGATTTCAGTTATTTCCTGGACAGATATATCCCGCAGGACAGGCTAGGTGTCGCTCCATGCAAGGCAATCCAGATTCCAGAATCCGGACAATTTTTCCTCGCGGAATCCGGAATCCCACTGCCAGAAAGACTGGAATCCCGTACCCGGAATCTGCAATCCACAGCCTGGCATGCAGAATTCAAGACTTCCCTGGATTCCCTTACATGGGGTGACAAGGAAAGATGTTACTATCTTTAAGTTAATAGTGATATTATACTACACACACATAAATGATTACCAACTGAATTACAAGTAAATGTTAAGAGTAAAATCTGTACTGTTCTGTATGTAACATATTCAGTTCACACCAAAAATAAAAAGTCTCAAACAGCCCAGAAAAAAATAATATCAATGACAGGTTGGTCACAGTCAGTATATTCAAAGCAAAACCAAAAGAAACTTCTGGTAAAGTTATTGTGTGAGCCAGTGCCAAAATCCTTGTTCTGGACCTTCAGCTTTGTACCAGGATTTGAGTAAGTGCCATGATTGGCCTGCTAAAAAAGGCATTATTTGATTGGCCAATCAGGTTGAAGGGAAATTCAAAATGCACTTAGGGCAACTCGCTGAGTCTGTTGAGGGCGCGGATCAAGGATCTCAGCCCTGCTTCACACAAGTCAGTTGCTGGAGTAATGTTATGTCTGCAACACAGGCTTCCCTATCAGGCCAAAAAAAAAATGTACGGGATTCAACCAGTGTGAAGAATATACGGTTGACTTGATATCAGGGCTTAAAAACTTCTAAGTCCCAAGATTGACCAACATCAGTTTCCTTTTAACAATGTCATCGACCACAGTCAATACTAATCAAGAGGTAAGGTTGTGAATTAATGAAATAATTACCTAAGAGAAAAAGTTTGATCTTTAAACATAATTATCATCTCAACTAATTCTTTAAAAAAATGTGTGGAGATCAGTCTAGAGAATTTGGAGGTGGATATGGGGGCTTGTGAGCAGGCTAACTTCTGGTTATAGGCTGCAATTCTCTGAACGATCAAATCACAATTCTGCTTTACAAAAACTATTTGCTTTTTGCGAGGCATTAGCACAAGATTTCAGTCTCAACAAAAATTACATAACTTCTAACTGTTTGTGGAATCACAAATAATTTCTAATGTTATTGCTGGGTACTTTCAAATGTTAACCAATGACTTTCTTAAAATCATGGGTAATATTGTTCAAAATATAACCATTGACACTTTGAAAACTTCATTATATCCAGCCCCGAACAAAGAATTTCTTCAGATATCCAAACAACTTGCAGTGGGTGTAAAAAAAATGTTAGGTATGTCACTGATTCAACCCACTTTTGGCTGTCTGAGCATCTTTGGAAACACTGTGTCTCACTTGAAAGTCCAGAGCAACAGAGTAAAGCATATTTGTTAAATTAATTGAAACACTTGCAAATTTGTCTTAAAAAGGAAGAAATCTAACTAAACAACCATATAGTACACAAAACCCTTTTCAGCAACCTAAACTTCAGTACTGATGCTTCTTGTAACTAAAGAGAAATGACAAAGCCACTGAAGACCCTATACATAAGTAGTACCATCAGGGGGTTGAGGAAGCTTTGAGTTTTCTTTACTGGTCATTGATCTGCGAGAAAAAAGAAACACAAACAGACAAGCCTTTTTTTTTCAACAATTAATTACCATTTGAGTAGCTACCAATGGTTTTATCTAATATGAAGACACCTTGATTAATTCCCTCTTCTCAGCATTTGTATAGCTGATGACACATTCCTTCTCATGTTCAGGGCTCAACATAAATTTGGAACTGTTGCTGGTTCAGTTCATGTTGATCTACCAAGAATTTTTAGCTCGGTCATGTCTCTCTTCTGCCCGATCAAAATGTTAAAAATAGCAAGATAATACAGGGTTGTCATTAAGAGCCGGGGGACGGGGATTTTCCCCGGCTACTAAGAGAGTGGCCTCCGGCTACTTTTATTGGAAAATAGAAGAAAAATAGAACCAAAAGAAATCCCTAGCCGTTTGATTCCCCGCCTACTTGTTGTGTTTACCCGGCAACTTGAAATCTTAGTGACAACCCTGTAATAACTTGAATGTACTAGCCTAAACAAGGAAAAACAATATAAAATTTGAAAAAACTTGTCCACTTGAAAGTATGGTGTGGAAATGTATTTTTTCATCTGGTCACCTGCTTAAGTGTTCAGCTAAAATGACTGGCAAACCGATCATTTGTCCAGACAAATGGTCATCTTGGGTGAATATTGTCTGTTAACTGGCCATTACATGTATTGGCCCTGATGCTTGATTAAATTGAAACAATGCCCTTTTCTACCTTTTCTACTCAACATACAGTTGTAGAGACAGCATTGCTGAAATCTTAATATTATGGATATCTTGATGATATGGACAGCAGCTAATCACCAAGAAAAATGATCATGGACTCTTGGTGACAGTCCCAAGGCAATAACTTACCATAAACGGCACCCCCCTCCCCCCCCCCCTTCCCAATTACTTATAACCCTCTCCAAGTTATAAGGTCATCTATTGGTAAACAAGTACTGATTGTAAACCCCCAGATATAAGCATCCCTTCTAGCTTATACCTGTATTTAAATAAATTTGATTTATTATGAAATTTTGAATCTTTATAATTTTATTAAGGACCAGTAAACGCAAAACCTTTTCACCAGCACTGCTATGGCTTGTTTTGAAGACTTTTACTTTTCCAGTTGTAAGTCCCCTAAGATATAGGCTCCTCCGCTTACAAGCTCTCCTAAGACCTCTTACAAAGATGTACAAATGTATTAGTCAGGGATAGGAAGCAGGAGTTTATGGGTAATCACAAGCTTACCTCTTAATCTCTGTAAGAATGGTTTTAATTGAATATTCCCTTTTCCAGTTAGTTAGAATCTTAAAGACCCTGGAGTCAAGCTAGGAATAAAAAATAAAAACGTATTTTTGCTTGGTTCAGAACAAAATAGGAAAACATGGAATTACGCAACTCCAGAGTGCCAGTGCAAAATGATGTTAAAAAAATTCATGTTTGCTTACTAACCTCTCCAGCAGCAGTTACTCCTGACAAGTTAATTTTTGTTACAAATGAAACTTTTGGTGGCTGGTCAGGATATTGTTTACCACACTCTAACTTCAAGGAGTATATTCGTCCTTCATATGGGCACTGTGAATTAAACAAAAAACAAATCATGGAACATAGAAAACAATAACAATAATGTGTTTATCACTGCCATCAGTCTATGATCACAAGCAACAGACCCTGAAACACAAAAACACACAAATTGGATCAGAATCCACCAAACGCAGATCACAAACCATGAACATTTCAACTTGTTGAAGTAAATTATTGTAAAGTTCTGTTGCTTGAGAGGACCACTAAGATCATTCACAGAAGTGAAGAGCAAGACCATCAGTTTGCTTTTGAACCTCGGAGTTCCCATGTTATTGAAAAGTGCAGTAAGTTCCACATAAAATAAACTTCCACTAGTACAAAAGTACCTAAATAGCAGATTGGCCAATACTACAGTGGTTGCATTTACTAAAATGTGTATAACACTATTGTAAAACAGAGAGATAAGATGTTGTGTCAAAGTAACCTGAGATCAGGCTCTATTTTCGTTTCGCTTTGAAAATTACATTCCGGCGGGCAAGGCGAAATGAAAAGAGAGCCTGATACAAATCTTTAACGAAATGTCTGCCGCCCACTTTTTTGATTGATTTGACATTTGCTTGTTTTTCTAGTATGCAAATTTTTCACGCGTTGGAAAAATGCAGACTGGCTGACTTAAAAAATAGCTTTATCTGTTCATTTTTTCAGCTAAAAATAAAACAGTCAGCACAATCACATTTAACTTCTTATGAGATTAAGGGAGATCTCGAAGGTTACTTCTGTTGGCCTAGAAGGTAAAAAGTTTTTGAAAAGACAGCGACACGATGTTCTACTAGTTTTATTATTTTGGCTAGGCGCTCTCGAATTTAAAATACTGAAATCTCTATTTTTCCCTTGTCTTGATATTTTCCTCGGCAATTTCCCCCATACATAAATCTTTTAAAACAAAGGCAAACAGCCAATGAGCGAGGACACCAGTTTTCTTGGTTTACTTTTAACAAAAAGCATAGTCAAACAACCAGTCTGTGAACACTGAAAATTCCTTGAACAGCAATGCGATATTTTTCGTCTAATACTTCACAGTTGGCAATTGAGGTTTCTTTCGCAGTGAGCCTCCGCTTGCGTACCCCGTTCAGAGAAGTCATTCCCGGCTAAACTTTGAAATGAAACCAGTTTTAAGATGGTCAGTATTTTGATTTGCACCCGTTTGTTGGTAAATCAAAATGCACCTTGTTAGCAGTCAACAACTTGCAGAGGGATTCAACTCCGCGATACACTCACTTTCCGTAAATAAAGCAAATCTTGGGAAGATATCAACAACCACATGAATTTTCTGAATTTCCATGGCACATATTAAGGCATGTCTTCCTACCATAAGACCATAAAACAATAAAAAAGACAGCAAAATCGATCCTTCTCTCCACCAACGACGGATCATTCACGAAAAAAACCACGCGAGGAATAAGCGCTTTCAACTTCCGGCGTTTTCGACAGCCAATCAGATCTTGTGGCATTGTTATAACAGCAAATTAGCATTACGGCCAAAATCTGGCCGTAACGAGCGCAAACTTGTAATAGTTTGTATCAGGCCCAATTTCAGCGGTAGCCGTTAGAGAGAATGTATGAGAACCGCTCTAATTGGGCCTGATCTCAGGTTAGTGTCAAAGTAGCCCACTACATGTACAACAAGTTCTTAGGATTTGTTTTGAAATGATATTTACAAAGGTGCAGCAGGCAAGAAAGGTCTTGTCTGATAGCTCAAGACTAGTGGATTTTGTGATCGGGCAAGTGAGTTCTGTTTTTAACTGGTCCAATGGTAGGCTTTTGCACATTATGCTTTTGTTTTCCACTAAAATGCTCCACCTTAATGCTCCATTTTTCCCACTAAAATGCTCGTTCAGCCCCACAAAAGTCGCTAAGATGCCCCGATAATGCTTGTCATACAGAGTCCGGTAACAGAGTAACATTTAGAGCTATTTAGCTGATAACGAGAGCTTATCCGCTGTCCGGCAGTTGATGTTGGCTTCATGATTCAGTAGTATTATTTGCCGTCATGTCTTAGCAGATGCCTTAGGCTAAATGAACTCAGTCAGTTTAATCACATGCTGTTGAAAAGAGGGAAAACGTTAATGCAATTTGCGCAGGTGCTATCCCTACTCAATTGATACACATACATGTAGTATAAAAACACGTTTATCGCATCTTAAACGGCAAAATTAACTTTTCTCCAGTCTCCACACTTTGAATTTCAAGTTTTTTCTAGTTTGTCTTCCTTTTTCTCTGAAAAAAAAATTTCTGGGAACAATTAAACCTTATTTTTATTTTCTCTTAATGCTTTATGCTTTTGCTTCACTAAAATACTCAAAAAAATGCAAGCATAATGTACAAATGCCTACCCAAAGGACATGTTAAGCCTCTAGGGCTTAAGATAAGTGCTAAAGGAAAAAAAAATTGTTTAAATTCCTAATGAATTCATATGGATTGAAAGCAGCCATCGAAGCTGTTCTGATGAATGAAATTATTTGTCTTATTATTACAATGAATCAATAAACAGCAATCAATAATTAGCACAAACTGAAAACAAGACTTTCTTTGCACCCTGAGAGGAGTGGTTGGGAGAGGTGGTGGAAAGGGTAAAAAAAAAAGGTTCAGTATCACTTCTCACACAAATGGAAAATTTGGTTTATGGTCACTTTGTTCAAAAGTCAAATCATTCCAAGCCAGATTGATCCATTTTGTAGTCAGATCATTTTACAGTTTCAGTGTAAAACATAATACATGTGAAGTGCATTTTTTTGGCTTATTGGCTTAAAAAACGAGGTATACACACAGCCAATCAGTTGAATGAACTAGAAATGTCCGTGCTGTCAATATTTGTTCTAGTAGTTAGTTAGTTAACATAACTACAAGAACAAATATTGACAGCGTGGACATTTCTAGTTCATTCAACTGATTGGCTGAAACAGACAACTACCTTTGTCAAATTCAAACTTTTTCAAGACCAACGCTTTCAAAATCATTCAGCTTAAAACTTGGAAATGTGCAAGGATTGATTTTATGTGGTCACCAGCCTGTTAAAGACAATTCGGTTTACAATAATCAGGAAAAGTAAGTGTTTTTAAATTCATCCTTGATTATGAGAGCTCGGCATTTACAAGAAACTGTACTGCTGAGAACGCTTCGAGCAGCGAAAAATGGAAGACACTCACTAAGGTTTTTTAACGACTGTTCATCATTGTCTGTTCCTGAGACCTCATCATGGCTGGATTCATAGAGAAAGTTTTGAGATTTAAAAGCAGAAAATGAAGGAGGCAATTTGTTTTCTTCCAACGCTGCCATCGCCATCTACAGGTGAGTGGAGCCACAGTTGTTGTGATGTCGGAAACTACCACTATTAATATAATATTTGCTTTTTCTCAGCGCTGGGGTTTTCATTATTTCATTTGGCCTACTGCAAGAGTCATCGTAGCTCTTCTTCGTCGGCTTCATCATAGTCATTAAGGAAATTTCTACCTCTGTGGCTGGTGACATTGGCGATATGTTCTGAACTTACAATCTTTGCTTTCTTCAGCTTCCTGACTGTTGTTTTTCTTGCACAATGATTCATAAACTTTTTTCTCACTTTCTTTAAGGCTAGTACCAGCTACGGATACTTTCATTATGTTAGTTATGGTATTTTCGCCCATTGGTTTAGTGTGGACCAGATGTTTAAATTTTTGGTTTCGTTTGCGAGTGAGGTAGAAACAAACAGACCATCGCTTGGATGTTTTCATAGAGGTCTTTGCTCCACAAAAGACTCAAAGAGAGCAACCAGACACCTTTCTCCTCCATCAAATAACGTACGTGACTTGAAATCCCTGTTGTTACCATGGAAAACTTGTATCCTTGTTCATTTAAATGGCTGAAAAGTGTAGCTGTCATGGTTTGCAATGTGGTTGCAACCGTTTTTGTTTTTTAGTTTTTTGCTTTAGTGTAGTCTGTTACAAGTAGCTTGTTTTTTAGTTTCTCTGGCTCATTTTCCTCGATTTTGTTGACAGTATTTTTGTCCTAGCTCCGTATTTTCAACACATTTAGCCAGAAAGATGCATACTTTTTACTGTGTTCAAGTTTTTGGAATATTTTTTAACTTTTCTATGGTTGTTTCGCATAAATAATTAAATTCCGTCGTCGTCTGCTGAAAACCATGGCCATTTTCTTGAATTTTGTTGTGAAAACAGCTCTAATCTGATTGGTTCTTGGTGGTTTCTTTTGTGTTTTCAGCCAATCAGAAACCATTTGTAATTTGCACTTGTGTTACAGAAGAACTGCACTCCTTTCTCAGCCCATCAGAATTGAGTAATTTTTTCATGTATAATATTATCTATAGATAAAAAATAATAAATTTATTACATGCCATTGCGTGGAAACAAACCGTCAGTGTGTAATAGCAAGTTTGATTTTTCTTCAGCAAAAGTGAAAGGACATATTGAATGGAGGGTTTGCAATGTACACCTGTAAACAATTTGTTGACAACCAAACAACTACATTGCTTGGTTGCCTACAAATATGCAGGAACAATTAAAAAAAAAGTCACATTTTCACTCTAATAACACACAGCATATGTAACAATTAACTGGAGAAATAAGCATTCCGGGTATCACAAATCAGCGCTGAACTGATTCTACAGTTCGAAGACTGAGGAAATATCCAACAAATCCACTGCAGCTTTGTGAAAAAAAAATCTACAAGTGACATTAGACAGGATAGACCATAATGCATCGTCAATAGTATCAATGATTGACTCTTTCAATCCAAGTCTTTACTACTTACTCTTTGAGGACCAATAATCATTCCAGTCCAGTGCTTCAAGTCCATGTCATCATCGTCTGCTAAGCCCCAGCTAACAGTTCCATCACCGCCTTTCTGTCCTTCCTCCAGTTCCTCAAGCAAGCGAAAATTGCGAGGTACCACAACTGAAAACGTGAGCGAGTTAAAAGGGAAAATTTGAGATTTGGGAAATCTAGCTTATAAAACTACAGAATAGCAATGCAAACGCGAACAGTAATGCGTCAAGGAGCCAGAATCAATTGGGTAGACAATTCTAACCTAAGGTGGCCATCTTGGATTCTCACCACCACGCCAAATGGATAAGAGCGAGAAGAGCCGAGCGGAATTTCCGACGATAGCCGAGTGTTTTTCCGTTGAGGTTCGTGTTCAATGACGACCGCGGCTCAGAGCGGGTTCCAGGGTCTCAGAGCAAAGGCACGCGAAAGTAGGAAAAAGGGGCGCTTTCTCAATTACGCGGACCCGACTATCCCGGTGCCTGGAACAGGCTTGAGGTTCACGATATTCCACTCATGCGCTAAAACCCTTGCTTTTTTTTGGATATTTCCGAAAAACTCATGGAATAGGAACGTGGCGGCCTGGCGACCGAGGGAGCCCGGACACGCAATCAACTATAAGGGCAATGTAAGCGCTGACACCCTGGGCTTAGACACCTGGTGATTAGCACTTGAAATGTTGATTAGGGTTCAAGCAAGAGCCGATCCGACTCCTCTGACAATAGCTGATCAAGTACTTATTCCAAATGGATAGAGTTTAATACTGCTAGGGTTGTCACTAGAGTCGTAGTCCGGGATCGATTCGGACTCATGTCACTTTGAATTGCTTCAGTTTTTGTTCAAAAAAATTTGAATGAACTTTAACTTTAATTTGAGATTGGTAGGACAGAATATAGTGAAGAATTAGAAATTTCATTTCAGTTTAAGTGTTAGGGAAGGGTAAGTTGCATGAAAGAATCGAATTCTGACGGAGTAGGAGTCACCAAGCAATTGACAGCAGACTAGGCTCTTTATGGATCACTAGTTTCCCTGAATGCCCAAGGTACCGTGCGAGCTATTCTGCGAAAACTACTTCTCGTCGTGGGACGTTTTACGAAAATTTCTCAGTCACAGACAGCGACAAGAGGTGGCTGTATGCGCAGGCTATGTGAGAGCAAGCTCTTAAGGGGCTCTCAGGCCGGAAGGATGCTTATGTTACTTGTCGACTGGACAATTGTAACTCGTTGCTCCTCGGGTCACCGGAGTATATTATTCAGAAGCTCCAGCGCGTTCAAAACTGCGCTGCACGCCTTGTAGCTGGGCAACCTAGGGCTGCGCACATTCGCCCCGTCCTTAAGGAGCTACACTGGTTACCTGTGGAGCAGCGAATTACCTTTAAAGTATTACTGTTAACTTTTAAAGCTCTCAATAACCTGGCGCCTCCGTATTTAAGTCAACTTATAGTCCCATATAACCCTACAAGAAATCTTAGGTCAGCTAGCAAACATTTATTAGAAGTACCGAGTGTGCGCCTGAAGAGCTATGGGGACAGGGCCTTTTCGGTCGCTGCCCCAAAGCACTGGAATGATATTCCCTTAGACATTAAATTAAGTGGATCAGTTGATGTTTTTAAATCTAGATTGAAAACTTATCTTTTTAGACTCGCTTTCAGTTGACTTTTTGTTTTGGTGCTATTGTTAGTTATTTTCTTTTTTTTTTTTTATTGTAAAGCGATATAGAGCTTTTGTATATACCGCTATACAAATAAAGTTATTATTATTATTATAAGGAAGAGAAGAGAACTGTCTATACGTTCAGCCTATACCATAGGTATAAAAAACTGGGTGAAAAACTGTCGCTCAAAAAGAGGTATTAAAAAGTGCCTAGGAGGCCTGAAATGCAGTCAGAACGCAAAGAAAAACAAGAAAAGCCCTAAAGGTAAGCTTCAAAGCGATATTCAATGCACATTTTAATAGTGTAGTGAGCAAAGAATATATCTCATACAACGTCTTATAATGTTCTTGCTGTATGAATAATTAATTAGCCAAGAAGGGTAGTGTTGTTCTCGGCATCCTAAAAGGACTGAAACGTAGGCAACACACAAATAAACATAATAAAATAATACATGCAAGCTTAAAAGGAAAAATTTAAAGCACGTTTCGCTCAATTATGGCGATTTCGGATAATTCTCATACAACGCCTTATAATTGTTGCCGTATGAATAATCAATTAGCCAATGGATAAAGTTGCTCAGGGCTCTCATAGTGAGCTTGGGCTACCTGTGCCTATACTACTGTTGTTAAAGACCTTGGTGTCACGCTTGACTCACACCTCAGCTTTGTTCCTCATGTCAACAACACCTGTTGCGTTCTCTCGCGTTCGTTTCATTCTATCGGCAGATTCAGGAAATTTCTTTCGCAAGCTGATACGCATTGTTCGTGCGCATTGTCCGTTTCACGTGTTTCAAAGTGTATGGGGTTATACGGAAATCTTACCCAGTTTTTAAATTTGAAATAGCTGCAGTGGGAGTACAGAAAGGCTTTTGGCAATCGAGTCTATTACTCTGTGTAATGAAATTGTTCTTTTTAGCGGAACCTGTATTTGATCTAAAATTTCCCAAAGTGAAAGTTGTTTTCCAGCAGTGTGCAGTTCGCCAAATTGAATTCGCCGTGATCGATCGCCAGCCGATTACTTGCCTTAGTTCTGCAAAGCAACAGTTTGTCCAGCTAGTTTTGTACCCGTTTGTCGTTTCAAGTACTGAATTTCATTCGACACTGATTTGGAGTCAAGCTTATAGAAAAAGGGCAAAACTGAGTGGCTGGCGGGCGAGCGGGTGTCCCAGTGGTCCACTCGTTGTCAGTCGCCGCTGCGCGGCTCGCTCTCTCTTTCACTAAAAACCTTTAAGACCAGGGTAGCAGGCGGGCGGGCGGACTGAGTGAGTGACGTCAGATTCAAGTTGACAATTTCCGATAGAAAATGAGGAACTATTTATTTGTTCGTAGAAGTCATTATCAGTAAACGACAAGCAACGGGAATGTTTGGTCACGTGTTACTAATAGTCCATGCTGTAAACGTGTCTCTAAATTTCTCTGATATTCTTATTGAGCGTTCTCAAAATCCCCCGCAGAATTCCTATGTGCTTGTGATTTAAAGAAACGAGGGGCTCTGGGAACGAGAAGTTTAAGATCTATGGTGTATTTCCGTTTCCGGTACTTGACGCAATAAAAAAACCAAGAAGAAATCAGAATAAGATAATCTAATTACAGAAAGAAAGTTTTTAATATGGAGGCGAATGTTCTGGTCATGCAATATCGGGGAAATTTCCCACCATTTTGGTCTTAACGTCATGAGATGTATGTAAACCTGGTCTTCTTGGTCGGTTTATTATTTTTTTTTATTGGATTTATATTCCAGGAAAACTCGGGCCGAGAAATCATCATGTCACCATGTCTCCAGCTAAAACGTGTCTTCCGCATCCACCTTTGCCGTGTGAGATCTGGGTACGAGATTAACGGGACCTTAGAATGCACGCTCACTGTTTTATAACATTACTACTACACAGCTTGTACATACAAAACAACTTGTGTTTTTATTACATGGAAAAAAAAAAAGATTTCAGCCTTTTAGGGATTGGCTAAAAGAAATTATTACGATGGACTATTTCTTAAAGGGAATGTTTACAAATTGCCGTTTACATGCTGGCAAACTAAAGTTTAGAGAGCAAAAAGGACTCCAAACGTATGCGGTACGGTTCGTTTGTTTAATACGTTTCCAGCGTCATTTTATTTGTTTCCATAGGACAAACCTTACTGTAGTAACCGTTTTAATTTCGTCGCCAAGAACTTCCTCTTTTGATCTGTGTTTGTGTTAAGCTTATTTCCACCTGTGAATCTTCTCTGCTCTTGTTGTTGTTATTTGAAAGTCGCTCTTTACAGATTCTTTTTAAACTTTCCGTGAAATCTTTCTTAAGAAATGCGTAAATTAACGGATCCATGATGGTGTTAAAAAGTAAGGTGTAAAAAGAGGCGTAAAGCACCGGCGCTGTGATCAGTTGAAGCTGGCCAAATATCTCACAAATATTGATGTAAATAAGAGGCATCCAAGACAGCAAAAACGTTCCAAAAATCATCGCGAACACCACCACGGCTTTCTCTTCCTTTCCTGCACGTTCACCGGTTCTGTTGCCCCAAGTAGAGCGACGGCGATTGCGTGAAATGAAATGGCGTACGACACGTAGTAATCTCACGTAAATCCAAACCATAGCTAAACACGGCAATAAAACAAATCCGAAAACAGTAACAATCATGTACACTTTGTGATAAGTCGTTGATGGGTCGGCATCCCAGGCAAGCGGTAGTATAGAAATACCACATGGTAGAATCCAAGAGATGGAGATAATCACAGCAACCTTAGTAGTGTTCATTGTGATGCGGTAGCCTAGGGGACGCGTTAACGCTATGTACCTCTCGTACGTAACTGCACCGATGTTTAAAATGGACGCTAAAAGGAGAAAGGCGATCACATATCCGGTGATTGGAGTGGCTGTGAGTGAAAAGTTCTCGTAAATGTAGATCGGAATAAGGGCGACGGAAACCAGAAGATCGGACAAGGAAAGGGACACCACGAAGGCGTTTGTGACCGTCCACAGTTTTTTGTCGAGCATAACTATTAAGCAAACCACGATGTTCAGTACAGTCGACACGAGTCCTAGTACAGCCCAAGTAACTGACAGTGGAATTAAAATAGACCTGTTCACTGTGGCTTCATAGCCTCCGCTAAGGGACGACATTGAAGTGGTCGTGTTGTTGAAAATTTGCTGCTGTATCATTCTAAATTGCGATTTCACATTTTACTGACTTCAGAGCTTGTCTTTGTGTTCTTAATCTTCTCCGTGCTTTGTTATTTTGAGGAATTGCACTTGTGTAAACAAACGTTAGCAGCTGTCCCCACGACTCGGTAATATCTTGAAAAAGTGGGACTTGAACTTTACACCGCCTCTTCGATCGACTTTAAACCAGGCGAAAAGCTTCTTTGAAGTCAGGATAACTGAAGTCCTTGATCACGTCAAACTGGTTTCCCTTCTCTAAACAGCCCATATAAAATCTTGTCTCACCAAGCTGTCAAAAATAGAAGTTAAGACAACAGGTCAATGAATAAAATTTTTGTGGCTGACAGTTGTTCAGGAAAGAACTACACTATATCAATATTTAGAGGAGATCTGCTTGGAAATTGAAAATTAATACCATTCAAAACTCCTTCTATAACCTTGTGTCGACGTCTCCTTAGTACCCTTTGCTAGAGATGTTTGCTAAAGTTATTAGAACGAGTTTTCCAGAGGAAAAGAAATAATGTATACTTTTGTTTTAATTTCTCGAAAGAACTTTCATTTTGTAATCAGAAATATATCCTTTTTATAAAGAAAAACAATGACTTCTTCTTTCATAAACTTTCCATGCAAATTGCAGTTTCAATTAACACAAACACAAGAAAAATTAAAATGTCTTGTCTACAAGCCTACCCACCAATTAAAGACATTTTCATCACTTTCAGAAAAGAATCCACTAAATATTTCAAGATCATGGTTCAGACGTTTTGTTCTGTTGAAGTGAACTATATGACGGATATTAATTAAACACACTGCCCAAATCATTGTGCCAGTTGTGAAGACATTGTTCGCTTCATGTTAAGGTTGCTTGGCTGCGGGATGCTTTCATCAGTTTTGAATATATGGTGGTAATCTTCAGCAATCTTCTATGTCATTAGGGATAGGAACTGAACTCGCTTTTGATGGAAATGACATTATGAAACTGTTATAATCGTGTATGGTATTCATCTGACCAACTTTCTTTTCAACTCAGTTCAATTTTTCATTTGCATACTGACCTGAACCAACTTTTCTTCACTTTTCACTAACTTTGATGTTTTGACTTGCTTCCAATTGCCTCTTAACAACATTTTATGGATTTTATGAAATATTATATTTTTTCTTTGTCATGCCCTTATATAAATTTGTTTTGCTTTTTTGTTTTTTTTGAAAATCAATTCTATAAACATGCGTACTTTAATTGCATCCACGTTTCTAAAATACTTGGTATTTTCTAGAGCATATCACATATGAAAGGCCAAGTTCGTCGATCCAAACTGGGAGGTCTTGATTAAAAGTGACTTCGTATTTTAACGAACTCGAACATAGGGATTTCTATTGTTAGGAGGATTTTTTCCTTTTATTGTTATTCAAAACCTCTTTGTCTTTTTTATTAAAGCAAAGAAAATCAAAGCTGAGCTCTCGTTAGTAGCAATGGATTTAGAATTCTCAAACTCATTAATAATTCATAAAGAAAATACAAAGAAAATTAATGTTTAATGAGTGTTTGGAAATCGGATGAAAAACTGCTCAGTATTTGCATCCTTAATTTCTCCTTCAAAAATGATTTTGTTTGAGAAGAAATATCAAACATTCGACACAGTGTTTCATCACCAGATGAAACACCTCGAAGTTCGTCAAATTTTACTAATTGTACATATGTCATGGCTTTATCATTCTATTTACATAGCTATTTTTCGAAGTAATAAGTGTTCTTAACTTTCTATATGTGGAAAAAAACTACTGAAGATCTCGGTAGTCAATCCCTTTGAAAAAATTATTTGCTTGCTCCAACCGTCGTAACTTTGGTGCTGAGGTTCTGTTCCAAAATGACTGTCGGCCTCAATTATTTTCCACTTAAAAATAAGAGGTGTGCGAAAAGTGGTGCTTTTAAAATTATTGAACTCTCTGGAATTTTCAGACAACAAACGGTTTAACACAGGCTTTCAGCAAATTTAACCTCAGACTTTTCCACTCAAATCTATTTGTCAGAATATCTATGAAAAAACCGGTGAAATACATTACACTTTTGTAATTTAGTCAAGACATCGGTGCTATCAGTGGCTAGCGTGACCGTAAATACTACATGTTTTGTTTACGGATGAATTATTTACGTAGCTGGTTTAGTTTTGTTAAGCAAAATAAACACCCGGGGGAGTGAAAAACAAGGCACATATATCATCACGCAATATCTACCTCTAGTTTCAAATTTCCGGGTTATATTCACTTGCATTTAAATTTATTTTATTTATTTATTTATTATTTTCCCACAATAAAGATTACACAAGCATTACATTATACAAAGATGTGGCGAGGGGACCTCAGAAAACCACAAGGCTTGTACGAGGAGGCCCCCTCGTTACAATAATATTAAGCAATAGAACTATAACAACACACAACAACGGACAGTACAAGACGCATTATCGATATAGTAGAAAATCAAAAACTTTCGTTTTAAACGATTGCAATGTAAAAATCGAAGTGACTGAGTTTGGTAAAGAATTCCAAATTTTAGGGCCTTGGAACAAAATAGAAAATTGTTTGGTGTTAGTTCGGCAGGCATGAGAACGGAAATGCGAGGAACTTCTAGTATTATAATTATGAATATTGCTACTAGTAACAAAAAGGTTCGAAAAAAAGCGGTGGCAGTAATTGATGATAATATGAAAACATAAATTGTGCAGTATAGAATGAATTAATGTTGTATATGTCCAAAATCTTTAAACGGAAAAATAATGGTTCAGAGTGCGCGCGAAAATCTGCATTTGTAATAATTCGTACTGCTCGCTTTTGTAGAAGAAAAAATTCTATTAAGGTTTGTTACATAAGTGGAGGACCAAACTGTGGTACAATATGTTAAATAAGGATAAATTAAGGTATAATAAAGACTTTTTTTTTGTTGTTTCAGAAAGAAAGAAACGAGACCTAAACATGACGCCAATAGATTTTGAAATTTTCTTACATATATAAGTAATATGCGGCTTCCACGTTAGATGCTCGTCGATAAAAACCCCTAAAAATTTAACTACCTTTACTTGTTTTAATAAAACCTCATCGTACAAGACAGGATTTATTGGGAAGCCGACTGGTTTTTGCCTTGCTGCAAAAATGATATAATTAGTTTTCGTTATGTTAACAGAGAGCTTATTTGCTTTCATAAAAAGATCAATTTGAGATAAATCATTATTTACGGCAGAAATAGCACAATTTAAATCGGGATTAGAATAAAACACACTAGTATCATCTGCAAAAAGCATAGTTTCAGCAAGACGAGTAGCACAAGGGAGGTCATTGATATACAAAACAAACAATAATGGTCCTAATATAGAACCTTGAGGGACTCCACAGCTCAGAGTCAGCCTAATAGAACAAGTCTCTTTGTACTGGACAAACTGCACGCGATTTGACAAATAGCTTTTCAACCAGCTAAGTGCTAGCCTGGGAATCACCAGCTTTAAATACCGGAATCAGTTTAGCAATTTTCAGTTCATCAGGAAATACTCCTTTAATAAGAGACAAATTGATTACATTGGCCAAAGGCTGAGAAATGAGATCAAAGGTGCTTTTTATTATATCCATTGAAACGTTATCATATCCAGGCGACTTTCCAGATTTAAAAGAGTTGCATATTTGATTTAGTTCCGAAATATTAGTTGGATTTAAGATAAGCGACTCATTAACAGAAGCGCCAAGAAAACTACGAAAAGATACTTGTGTGTCTGGAATTTTCCTTGCTAAATTCGGACCTATGTTGGTGAAGAACTTACAAAAGCAGTTAGCTATTTCTTGTGGATCATTTAACAGTTTTCCATCAGAGAAAAAGGAATTTGGCAGAGCTGCTTTTTCTGCTCGGTTTGTTGATTACATCATTGATTAGTTTCCAAGTTTCTTTCAGGTTATTTTTAGCCTTCTCAAATTTTATATCATAGTACTTTCGTTTAGCAATTTTTATAAGATGATTCAGTTTGTTCCGATAGCGTTTGTATTTTAACTCAGTAGTTGAGTCCCTAGAATTAATGAACTGCTTATAGAGTTTATCTTTTTTTCCTGATAGAAACAAGCAGAGATTGCGTTATCCAAGGGGAGCGCATTACTTTCTTTGTTTTAAGTTTTATCGTTTTTAATGGAAAGCTTTCATTGTATAATCGAACATACTCACTCACAAAACTATTATAACATTCATTAGTATCGCTTTCATCGAAACGTAAATTCCAATTAACACGAGAAAGAGAGAGCCGAAAATTGCTCTTATTTCTTTCTGAAAAATCTCTTTTAGTGAGATATTTAGTTTGGCTATTTTTCGACGCTATTTCTGTCTCATCCACTTCATAAACAAAAACCGGTAGATGGTCAGAAATATCATTAATAACAATACCATTGAAATGTTTACACCTTACATTATTCGTGAATATATTATCAATAAGTGTGGCCGAATGAGCAGTGATCCGAGTCGGTCTATTGATTAGAGGAATGAACATATGGGAAAATAGACTATCAACAAATTCTTGAGTAGGGGCATGATCGGAATAGTGAAACAGATCTATATTGTAGTCTCCACCCAAATAACAATATTTGTCATTTCTAGTTATTTTAGCAAGAATCTCATTAAATTTGTCCAAAAAGTCCCGAGTGTTATAATTAGGCGGACGATAAACAGTACTATAATATTTTTCCCATTGGGAATGTTAATTTCAACAAAAAGAGTTTCGATCACTTCAGGTTCAGAATAATTACAATCGCGGCATAATTTGTATTCTAAATCGTCAAGTAAATAAAGACCTGCTCCACCGGCGGACTTGCTATCGCGGTGGTTCGAATCAAGAAGTAGATATAATTTTTAAAAAATAGGTGACGTTTCGTGGTGGCGAGGAGTACATCTCTTCAGAAATGTGTTTCTTATCCAGCAGAGTATTTATTGTACATTGTAGACTGAGCCGCGCAGACTCAAGGAGAAGGAAGTCGCA